TCGTGGTGCATCGCTTGCGACTCGTAGGCTCAGCTTGGCGATAACCCACGCACTCGACACGGTGATAATCCCTCTTTCCCTCACCGCGCTATCAATGAGGCAGATTTCAATTGAAATGAATTAGGATATTCAACCAACGACGTAGTCGGGGGTTAACGGATAATGACTCCCTCGAAATGTCTCTCTTATTATGTAAAATATACAATAATTTTAAGACATATAGTAGGTATATTTTATTATGTTATGAGTTGAATATCGAAATTAAAATTACATATCAAAAATGTATACGTTTGAATCTACTACAAATCAGTCATTTTTATTTTAATTAACTGTGAATCATATTTAGGCCATAAACAATCGACTCTGAATTAAATTTAATCGTTGGGATTAGTTTTCGTAACTTCAAAATGTATATATTTAGACAAGTTCGCACGCAGAAATTTTTCTCGTGGGGGGGGACAGTGAAAACCACAATTGTATATAGACCATAGAGCAGAGACGAATAGGAATATTTATGAGTGATAAATAGAGTATAATGAATACTTGACCGTTATTTAACCAATTTATTGAAAAATAAGTACTACGTCTAATACAAATAATTAATTAGGTATCTTTATTTAAGTATCTATAAATATTCACTATTCAAAAATATTAATTAAAATAATAATTTAACATTTTTTTTTTCATTTACAAACCTATTAATGACTTTTTAAAAATACGGTTTCCAAATATTCCTATACCTCAATTTATCTGTATATTATAAAATCAATGGTTATAGCTCGATCGATCGGTCACAACCTCGGTCGTGTATAGCAGCGGTTTCCAAACTTTTATCATCACGGAACCCTTAAAAAATAGATTGTGTTTCACGGAACTCTAATGTCTAAATCAGTGGTTCTCAACTGGTGTGCCACGACACACTACTGTGCCGTGAGATCAACTAGGTGTGCCGCGAAAAATGTTTGATATAAAAATATTGAAAACGGAATGTATTTTATTTCTTTACATTTATTTATCTGTACAGATAAATCATACGTGTGTAGATTAAAGTAATTTAGTTTTAGAACTGTACAGTTGTTCAGAAATAAATTGAAAATACCGATTGATAAAAGTGAATATTTTAGCGCGTAGCCAAAGTTTTTAGTGTCAAGTGCCAGTGGCGCACACTAGAGGGTTCAAGGGTAGCAGCTGCTACCCCTGAAAAATTAGGTGGGTGGGTGGTCCTCCTGGCTCCAAAATATCTACATCACATGACTACATCATAATAAATCTATTACGTACAGTGGCGTGTTGAAGAGGTTTTTGAGAAGCCATGGCCTCTACATTTTTAGAGGTGGGTGGTTTGGGTAGCCGAAATCTCATGACTTATATGAGGATATTAATTCAATTGTACCTATACCTACATAAACTATAGTAATAATTATTCAGGGACATTAAAATAGGCAAGCCTGTACAACCGTTCGTTATTCTATTGGTAAAACGGTTTAAACGTGCTACGTGTAATAAAAACTAAAAAAAACCGAAAGAACCTTTTCTAAATTGACAATTATTAAAAACAAACTTCGTAGTACCATGTGTGAAAGTTGGTTAGAAAATTTAATGTTACTATCATGTGAAAATGATATTAAAATTGACACAGATACTGTAATTAATACATTTTCAAATAATAGTAGCTTATTGCAAAAGGCTTTATTATATTAATTTAAGTTTGATGTTTACTCCAAGTGTGCATAGTTATTAAGACTTACAATAATCAATAAAAATTAATAGCTACTGAGAACCTGTATTTTATTTTATTAACATTCAATACTTTATTATTAAATCTTGAACAAGTTTAGAGAATTCTAGTTAGGGGGGTGTGGGGGCGAAGCCCCCGCGAGTCTGTTTTTGAAAATGATTTAGTGGATGGGTGTTATTTTTCCATTCAATATACTTCCCCTATTCATTTTTGAGTGTGTGCCACTGTCAAGTGCATGGGTGTGCCGCGAAAACTTGTGATGTATAATAGTGTTCCGTGAACAAAAAAAGGTTGAGAACCACTGGTCTAAATAAAGGCTACCAATGATTTAAAGAACTGTATAAACTAATAACAAAATGTAATAACATTTTATAAATCAAAATAGTTGTGTTTCTAATTTTATCGATGCAATAACGTATCAAGGAATTTCAACGCGGCGTCGCGTTATAACCTACATAGATTATAGAATAACTTTTTTTATTATAAAATCAATGGTAATTTTGACCACCTAATTTTTAGTTAGAATGAAAATATATATTGATCAAATACAGTGACGTAGCCAGAAAAATATATTTAATTTGTGGAGGAGGGGGGGTTATATTTTGAATTATTTCCTACATAAGTAATAACTTTTTAATTTTAATAAATCGATTAAACAAAAGTTAAAATATTAAATATGTAATTATTTAGTGTATTAAAACTGTGAAAATATTTTCTTTTATGCCTACTTTTAACAAACATAAACAAAAATATTGGTAATTGATGATAATGTATGGTGTGTCAAATATGTCACAGATAAAAATGTTGGTAATTGTTGTTAATGCATGTTGTGCCAAATATGGCAAGTATTAAACTATAACTTATAACTTCATAATTTTTAACATGGTAATTTTTTTATTATTTTTCCCGTAATCTGCGATAATTTTACTATAGAATTTAAAAGATTCCATTAATAGACAAAAAAAATCATGCAGTAAGGGTTATTATGTATTTTGTAAATAAAGAAAAATTTTTCAGTAAAAAATCTTATTGATTATCTTATCTTATTAATCTTGCATATTTTTTATACGAAACAATTTCGATGTTTCACACTTACTAGTTTACGGAACTGCCAAAATAATATGTTCCTTAACTTTTCAAGAACTTCGTGAAGTCATCAATAATAGTGTGCGTTATATCGTAAATAACACTTTAATTTCATTACAAAGATTCTGGGCTTATACTAAACAATTTTACAAAATGGCTAACTTTTTAAAAAAAAAAATGATAAAGAAAAATAAGATTATATAATGTTTAGGAATTTTGTAAAGCATTTAAATAATATCTGAAGTTAAGTTATATATTATGTATTTTGTTGACTCATTAATGGGTAATATATATATGTATTATATGATCCAAGACCGATTTATTTTTATTATTTTTTTTTACTATTCATACATTTGATATTTTATAAAAATTGTATGAAAAAATAACTATAGTTTCATTTTTCTGAAGTTCAACATATTGTTAATATGTTTCTCTAAGTTTAGAATAAAACATACGAGTAACAATATAAAAGTTTTCTATTTATTTTGTGATTTTTCGGTAAACTTAATTTTAGTCAACAGCGAAGTACATAGAGAAACCTTATGTTTAATTTTCAAGGTCCAACAAAACAAATTTAATTTATATATATTTTAAACAGAAAAATGTTGTAAATTTTCGTGATAGTTGTCGAGTTCTATCAAAAACTAAAATTTAAACGCTTATGAAAAAAAATTGTGTGGAACGATTTTTGATATTTTTTTTTATATATATAAGAAAGAAATGAGTATGATAGTATTTTTAACAAATTTTCAGGATTTTATGCCGGAAATTATTTTAAAGACGTTTAACAAAAATAAATTAAATAAACGTGAAATTTTCATGTATGAAAGAAAGTCAAAGGTAATTAATAAGTCCCGATTTCTAAAAATTCGATAGCATCCAAATAATGGAGATGCTTATTCTAAAAAAAAAAAATGTTGTAAATAGTAGCAAAATATTTACACGGATTTAGAGTTAACCTGGCAATGTTGGGGGGGCAAGGTACTATTAAAAAAAAAAAAAAAAAAATTGATAACGACCAATGAAGATGCAAATTTTAAAAAAAAAATTTGTTGCAAATGGTTACAAAATTTTTACACGAATTTTGAGTCGATTAGACAAAATTAGATGGAGGGGCAGGCCATCACCTATAAGAATTTGATAACAATAAGTTGCAAATAAATTGTAAAATATTGGCACAGGTTCGTAGTCAATCGAGCATCGGGCGCCGGCCTTTCCGTCATTAAAAAATCGATGATGTCCAAAATATGAAATAGCATACTCTGAAAAAAATTGTTGAAACTATTTGTAAATAAGCCGCAAGTATTGCAATATTATTTAGTAGATGGATAAAGTTGGAGAAAACTAATTGACGGGCGTATTGTACAATAAAATTGCCGAAAAAACATTGGCGCCGGTTAACGTCTATAGTAACGGCATTGTCAGAGACCCAGTTCCTGATGTAGTGCGTGAATGTCTATACAGGGAACATAAGCTCGGTTCGACTGCGGACCGAACGCGGAGACTAGCGCACTGGTAATCATCCGCCGAAACATAATGCCAAAACGATTGTGTCATCGCGTATTCGTGTTCACGGCCGACGTTGTGCGATGTCCGGCCGAAAATGTAAGCCTGCAAAGGCCAGAGCAGGCGTAAGACTTCTCGAAGCCCAAAGTGTTCAAGGGTTATTGATAAAAGGGATATTTGCCGAGCAAAATAATACGCGCACGGTAATACCTTCCCTCGTTTTATTGTATGTACATTTTTCGGCGGACCGTGCAAAGGATTTCTAAACAACAGACACCGTTTGAATAAAAGCCACGGTTCAATGTTTCCGTACTCAAATTCTATGGTCGCACAACTTAACGAATTGATAAGTGAAATATGCACTTCTAGGGGAATGCACTTTCAACGTTTTCAACCGGTGCTACGCTTCGGGAAGTCCAATATAACACGAGGCCGTGGGTATGTGTCCGGTTTGTCATCCCCCCCCACATCACCAGACGCTTCAACCGGTTTTTCGACGCGATCGTTGCCCGTCGGACGCGCATGATGGTGCCGATCAGCTGCAACTACGTGTTGCTCCCAAATGCAACGCTGCACAACCCCCCTTCTCCAGTGACCACTACGCGACGATGATAAGCCGTGTGATACCTGTAGCGGAAACCATCGCACCCGCCCGAGGCGATCTGCCGGCAGTTGGTACCTCTAACTGACGCCCGGGCGCATCTCCTCGTTTGTGCACCGTCATCGTGTTCGAACGGCACAATCGCTGTCCTCCGCTCTCCCGCGCTCGCCGCCCCGCCTTGACCGCCGTCCCCGTCGTCAACCATCGGCGTATCTCGGCAACGCGTCCGACACGAACGATAGCGTCGTTTATGCTTACCAGCAAACGTAGCCGCGTGCAATATCTGTTTGGCACACGATAACATTGAAATCCAAAAGCGTTTCGGTCCACCTTTGGACCGTATTCTCGTTAGCCAAGAGCTAAGCTCCGGCAATAGCTAAGCATTTTTGCAGCACATGCATGATTCATGGGCCGTCAAACGTTTCGATGAATACGATTAATAACAACACAATATCATTATTCGAGGTTTAATTCGAAAACCCGTTTTAATTTATCGGTGTGTTTTATAGTCACCGTAACAACTGCCAAAAAATTGATTATCGACACAATCTTTAAACATCCGTTGCTATATCGTTTGATCGTTGACATTACGGTTGTGGTCGATCACTTACTATGTAAGTACCATATGTAAATGTTATAATCATCAGGTATATGAGTGTTAAAACAATTTATATTACTAGGAACATGGAATCATCTGAGATTTGGTCGTTGAAAACCATAAGCCTTAAAGCAATTTATACAAGCCTTGAAAAGATATTGTTTCAAAAAAATAAACAAAAACAAGATTCTTCAAAACTATTGAAACGGTAAGTTATAATATTAACTTAAAAATAACTTGACCATAGTAAACCTATCAACTCAAGTACAAAGTACAGCCATGGTTGTTAAGTAATGTGTTATCAAAAGAAAAGAATACATTTACAATCTTGAATATCTGGTTGATGTTTAATTAGGGGATTCACAAATAAAGCATAACAGGGATAATTTAAACAATATTAATTTTAAGTAATAGTATGAGTGACTATGGAAATGTAATAATATTTAAAATGAATACACTTGTATACATTATAAATAAATGTTATGTAAAATTTATTGAAACGTTTATTTAGACATGTTTAAACAAAAATCATGTTTTCTTGTTTCTTATTTTATTCATCAATAATATTAATGACTATTATATCTCAACTCTGTGAATATTAATATTAAAATTAACTTCAGTATTATTAAGTCTAATTCAATTTTATTCTTATATACATATTTTATATCTCTATTATATTTTTTGTATATTTATGAAGTATTAAAATATATAATTGTACTATTGTATAAATATTTATTTCATTGAATAGGGAAATATAATAATAATAGTAAACATTAAAATTAAAAGCTATATAATTTGAAGTTTTTGATTCAAACATTTTAAAATACCTATAAACTTATGTTGATTTTATGTCAAAATTGTTATGTTTCAGAAACCTTGAAAAAAAAATTAATAAAAGAAGACAATTGGAAAATGTTGATCATGTTGATTTGATGAATACATACAAAAAAGTAATTAGTTTTGGAATTTAAATTTAGCAGACTAATTGGTCTAGTAAATTAGTATTTAATAGTATTTTACACATATATTAACTAGTATTTAATAGTTAATAGGTTTAAAATATTATATAGAGTAGAACAACTAGATATTATTTTAGTTAGTGGGATATATTTTTTGTTTAGAAATAGAACACCTTCATTCTTTGGTAAATTATTATTTCAATAGATTAGGTTTTATAAACCCATATAAATTATTGTAATAATATAATTTGTAAATATAAGAAATAATGCCAATAAGAGCCACTGATTTTAGTATCTTGATCATTTGAGTAGAATAAATAAATATTTATTTTATTTAAAATCACAAACAATCCAAGCCATGTCCTTAAAATGTTTTAACTTTTTTGTTTAAATGTGTTTAATACGTTCCAATGTTGGTAGTATATGTATACAAAATATTTTATACATTACTCATATAATAACCCATAGATAAAACAACTAAAACATATAATTTATTTTGTTTTTGAATTTCACTCTTAAAAAATAAATATTTTTATTAAATTTTTATTTCAGATATAATGTTAGTTTTTAATTTTTATATTTAGTAAAAATATATTAGGTAATTAAAAATTATGTATGTTCTATAAATTATAAAAAAATATTTTTGTTTGCAATTTTCTTTTCTTATTATTTTAAATAAGTACTTATTTAAATAAAAAATAATAAAACATTGATACAGATACAGAATATATATTATTATATTCATATTCTAAATCAAAATGTATATATTGCCAAAAATATTAAAAGTATTATAAATATCACAAGTACAATGAATTTACTATAAATTAGTTTGTAATAAAATAAAGGTAATAATTAACAGTAAATTAAATTAATAGAACCATAATTGTTTATTTATAATTTTTATTTTTTTTTTATTATTGCTAGATTAAATTATAAATATATTTTTGTTTTTAAAGTATTTTTATTTTTATGTGATATAAAACGTAAATAATTAAATAAATCCTAGTAAATTATTTATTTAACTGATTTATATTATATGAATTAATGATTAATATCATTGAAATTTAAATATAAAATATTATTAAATAAAGAATTCATATGTTAAATTATTTTTTTATAACTTTTACTGATTTTTTTTTTTTTTTTTTTAATGGAGTGATGGTAAATTGTATGGTAAATTTATCAACTTTGATGCATCTTTTTCTCTGTAAAATATTGCATAATCGTTTAAGTCAAAAATATAGCCAAATTAATTGAATAACTATTTTAAATTATTATGTTAATACAATTTAAATTAATACATATTTTATTAAATAAATATTTGTTAGTAAGTATAATGCCCAAGACTCCAAGATATATAAGATAATTTTTGTAAAAATTCTAGTAAATGAAAAGAAAAATATTTATTAGAATTATAAGCACAAATTTTTATAATATAGAGTATTTTAAAAAGAACGCAGTATTTAAATCTGCTATAAATTAAATTTATTTCTTTTAAAAAACCATAACAAATATATCATTCTCTTCAGGAGAAGTTTGAGGTGTAATAATAAAAATAAACTTAGAATATTGTAGCATAATTTTATAGTCTTTTTCGCCCTCGTCTTTCTCTCATTTACTTGAGGTCAGCCACCTTTATCCTAGGGGAGGCGGTATTTTCAGTATACCAGTAATTACCGGTATTTGTTAAATACCGGTATTCGGTATTTATAACAAATCTAATAAAAATAATTATTTTTAGCACTTCTATTGGATATTTTTTTATGGTATTATTCTATTATTGTATTAATAGCTTATCGGTATTTATTGATTGATTATTTTTCGATGGTCAAATATCAGTGTGCTGGTATACTGCTAAATAATACTTATGTATACCTGGAACTAGTGTACCTTGTGAAAGGCTTTTCAGTACAGGTAGGAATATATGCACAGATAACCGTGCATCACTATCTCCAGATCACGCAGAGCAGTTGATATTTCTATCAAAAAACTCTCACATTTTTAAACTTTAATATCAATGAAAAAATTATTAAATTTTATAAGCTAAAATGTTAAAAAATATTCATATAAATATTATGTATTATGTAAAGGTATATATTTATGTTTTTTTAGATAACTATGTTACATTTTTAAATCTTAAAAGTTAAAATATTGAAGTTGCCTACACAATAAATATACGTGTAAAAGTAAATAAATGCATGTTTTATAGATAACTATTAACTATTTTACCATGTTACATCTTACAATTTTAAATATTGTAATCGAACTATACAGTATATATATAAGTACTATATATAGAATAAATTAATAATATTACAAATCATAGAAATAAATTAAATAATGATCAAATCTATAGCATACGTTTATGTAATTTAGGTTAGTCATGTTTCAGTGCTACGGTAACTACCACAAATATCGGTTGTACGATAATAACCACAAATACGGTAATACCAATAATACCGAAAATACGGGTACAAAAAAAATACCGAAAGCCGATATCAACATTTCAAATACCGCTAACCCTACTTTATCCTAAACCTCCACTCGTTTCAATTAGCATAATTTCTTAAGTATTTATTTGAAAAAAATTAATACATTTATAATTTATTTTATGTCACATTTTCTCAGATGTTAGATCAGCCACTGTATTTAATACTTCTTAGAGAATTAGAATGTATTATTTTTGAGTTATTTATTTAATATTAGTTTTTACACAAGATCTGGAAAATTAAATTAATTAAAAAAAATATATAAATAAATAATTGTATACAATTTTTAAGTAACTACCTATTATAAATATTAGGCTCAATTTAAATTTAATAATTATTACTTATACTTGATAACATAAATATAATTAACTATTATAACTACAGAAAAACAAAGAAATCGATTTCAATCAAACAGAAGGAAAAAATATATTGCCTTTAATGAATCCAGAACTAATGTTTGAAGTGCCTGAAGACATTGATAACTGGATAGCAGTGCTTTGTCCAGATGGAATACGGTGTTACGTTGTTGCTAAAAATGTACTATATTAGTTAACTTAGAAAACAAACTAAACAACACATTTTTAAATGTTAAAACATTTTTTCAGAACAAAACTAAAGCTATTGCTACATCTGGAAAAACAATTAATTGTTTCCAATCATTATTTCCTTATGGACAATGCTTACAAGATAATCGTATTCGATCACGTCGTATACAAACGGTTTTAGACTGTGTATATAGTGCTCAATTAAGAAAATTTTATGTTTTGGACGTTCTTGAATGGCTAGATATGCCATGCACATATTATGATGTATGTATTTACTATATATTATAGATATTTACAACTAATAATATTAAATTAAATTTTGATTGCAGGCCGATTTTAGATTTTCTTTCGTTGAAAGTAGACTTAATCTAATACAGGGAATCAATAAAGTATCAGAAAAAAATTATTTTCCGTTTGAAGTATGTAATATCGGTACAATAAAATAAGTAACTATTATGTAATTATAACATTTTATTTTAGATGGCTCCAAGAATGGTTACTAGTGATTTTTACCAGTACATTTTAGACAATGGTAAATTTTTTCCTGAAAATGTGAATTTGGACCGCATTTACTTTTATAATCCTGAAAGCTATTACATTAGCAATACACCTACAGCACTTTGGCTAAAACCATTCATGATAACTGATGTCTTGCAAAAACCAATCAATGATCAGATAGAACTACAAAGACCATTAAATTATGTTGACATCTTTGAGTATGATAAAAATTTGAAAACAAACAAAAAAGAGAAGAGTTCATCTGACTCTAAGAAATGAAAATAAATTACCTAGTTGAGGTTAGTAAAATCTTAAATGTATTCTGTATAAAGTATTTTTATTAATTTTATTAGTCTTACATTACAGGTTAACTATAAAATATATCTGACTAATAAAATAATTAAAAAACATAATGTTTTCTTTTTTTTTTTTTAACAGGTTAAATCAGTTACAGATCATGTCTTCTAACTATGAGAAAGGAATCAAATATTTTTGTTCAGTTATTAATTAGTTTTCATCATAATATGTGCCATATAATATTAATTTTATATTAAGTAATAATATTAATTTAATATTAAATATTAATATTAATTATAATAATATAATATTATAATATTAATTAATACTTAAAATATAATATATAATGAACTATGATTAGTAATATAAATTGTGATTATAATTTACACCTATCCAAAAAGTTGGTATTAAGGCCATAGCCAGCAAATTCTTTTTTATCATATAAATGTGTGTGTATGGGTGGGAGGAGTAGAGTATAAATATAATTTTTGACTAGCAAATTTATAATTTCCAAAATTCAAATATAATTGGCATTTAAAATTATTTAATTTTATTTTATGAAAACATTTTGGGTAGGTATAATACACACGAATTATTCACCCATGATTTTGAAATTGTTAAATTCTTATTTAAAATTGTGTGTTTAGTTCTTAATAAAATCTTCTAATGTTCAAATTCTAGATTAAGTTTAAAAATAAATTATTTAAAGGAGATTGGAGGACTACAAAGGTTTTATCAGTTTGAAATAATTATAATATTTTTACCATGACTTAACTTCATATTTTTAGCTGAATCTGATTTTATATAATTAAGTAAATTAATAATATTTTTAATGTTTTTTTTTTTTTAAATTAATATCAACACGTAAAATAAGTAGCTACAGAAAAAATATGAAGCAAATTATGTAGATTTTAAACATAATTTAAATAAACCGCTTATATACTATAAATTATAATTCAATTAATTATATAATAATAGTTAATGGACCAACAAGTCAAGGAAGAAGAAGAAAAATAATAATAACTATAAAGCAATTATTTTTGATACAATTTTTTATATTTAAATTACATGTAAAAGAAACTATATTTTAAGATATCAAGCAAAATGTTTTAATTAAAAAAAATTCCTGAATATTTTAACTCAAGTTACCTAGGTAAATACACTCAATATAGCTAGTAAATTTAGAGATTCAAAGATGGGTTGACCTTAGTCATATAAACTGATTAATCGAAATCTGATTGTTTGGTTAAGAATTAAAAACATTTTATAAAATATAATACAGTCGAATCTCGATAACTCGAATACCTTGACAATTCAAATGTATACCTGTCCCTAGATATCCTATATATATATTGTCTATACCAGCGTTTCCTAAACTGTAGTCCGCACAAATACTGGAGGGGTTCCGCGAACAAAAATTTCAAATATACAAAGTATTATTATTTATTATTGTTTTTTAATTGTTTTTTGTACTAAGAGGTCCACGATCAATTTTATTATCTCTAAGGGGTCCGGAAGAAAAAAGTTTGGGAAACGTTGGTCTATACATTTAATGCAATATTTTTCATGATAGTCAAATGTAAAAATAATTGAGCATAGATAACTCAATGTCAGTTATGACAAATATATTATTATAATATACAAATATATCATTAGAATAACCGGTTTAAAATAATAAATGTAATATTGAAACTATCACTATGTGCTATAAAATAATCAACAGTAGTCATATATCTTTGTTGTGTAGCATATACAATTAGTAGTTAATTCTCGTAAACGAATTACATTAACAATTGTTAAAAAAGTTTTAAAACATTTTGTCTAAGAAAAGAAAAATCAAATATACTAATGTAGAAGGCATATTGGAGGATAATTAGAAAACTATAGTAGATAACAATAATTTAGAATTTGAAATTATATTTCACACATTTAATCAACTAGACACTTATATACATACAACTGGAGTATTAATTCATCAAGACTTTGTAAATGCTGTGCAACCAATTCCTAAATCTGACTCAACAATAATAAAGAAAACGAATATTAGGTGAAATACTTTTCAAGTACTTAGGGGGAATTAAAGACTTTGTTTTAAAACCTCCTTAACGTCAAACTCTTATTTCAAGTTATTTATTCTAAATTGTGATAATTATAAATATAGGTATTATGTTTTAAAATGTAATCTTCTAATTGTAGTTTTAGTTAATAAATATGCACATATGTATCTTTAAAAAAATTTCAGTTATAACTCAAAAAATACATAAGATAGTTAATTTTTACCTCCCTTGAAATTCAAGTTATCTTGATTTAACTGTAGAATAATACAAAAATATTAATATTTAAATAACACACTTGTTGGAATAACTAAAATGTAAAAAAACCTTCAAAATGACAGTACAATTAATATAAGAATTATGTAAGATTTCAATTAAAAATGTCCTTTAACTCATAATATTGTTCTTCACTAATAAATAAATATAAAAGTGCATCGCAGCTATAATATTGCGAATTAATCAATCCCAATGACCTTTAAGGATAATCCACAGAATATTATATTATAGAATACTTAATTACTACAATTGATAAAATTATAATTTTCATTAATATAAAAATATTTTTTTAACTTTTAAATTGTATGCATACAAAGCATAAATACACACTGCCACGGGATATATATATATGTGTGTTAGAATACATGCTTAAAAATTGCATTGTATCACAAAATATCTGTATCTATATATAAGTATCTGTATGTATAAAGTATGATTAAAAATATAAACAGTAGAACAACTTTTGATAATTGGATAAATTATTGATAAATAATAAGAATACTGTTAAGATTTTTGGCAGATATTTGTGGACTTTGGGAAAGCTTATGATAGCATTCATAGAGAGAACCTGTAAAATATTATGGAAAATTTGGTACACCCAATAAACTTGAGTCACTTACTAAAATTTGTAAGGAAGAACCAAAATATCAGATAAAGGTTGACAGTACATTACCTGAAGCTTTCACAGTAGAAACCGGCTTAAAATAAAGCGATGCATTATCTCCAAAATTGTTAAATTTAGTTATAGAAAAAGCAGTGAGAATGATACAAAGCAAAAAAAAAAATGAAATAGCAGTCAATGATCGCTGAGTACTAATTCTAGATTCTAGATTTTGTGGATGATCCGAATACCCTAAGTGAATCACTGAAGGATGCTTTGGAGTCAACCACGGCTCTAAAAAAGGTTACAAAGAAAGTAGAGTTACAAATTAATGTGGAAAAAATCAGAATGGAGCTTCTTGACAGAGAAGCAGACCAAGATAATCGATAAATTAGCTTACAAAAAAGTTGAAGAATTCCAATATTTAGGAATATTGATGAGTACAAAGAATGACTCATTACGTGAGTTTGATGTAAAGATAGCAAAGGCAGAAAAAGCTTCTTTTATGTAGCGAAAATTCTTCAAATTCAAAACTCTTTCCAAGTAAACAAAATTAAGATTGCACATGGCAATAATTAGACCCATTCTCGCGTGAAGTATGGACAACAAGTGTGACACTAAGATAAATTAGAACTTTTGAAAATATAATTTGAAGGATGATATGTGGACCAGTGCATGACACAAGGACAAGTGAATGGAGAAAGAAGTTCAACAAGGAATTTCAGAAAAAACTGGGCTTAGCACCAATTACTAGCTACAAAAAAGAATAAAAAATGAGAAAAAATCATCAGAAAAGCCATGGAATGGAAAATGGAAGAGTAAAGGCTATGAGGTAGACCGAGAAATAGATAGCTATACATAGTGAAAAAGGATCTTAAAACACTAGGAGTGCAAGAACGGAACAAAATTGTTCAAGATCAAGAGAGATGGAGGAATGTGGTGATGGCAACAAAGTCTCAGATTTGTGAGGGCTGGTGAGAAAAAAAAAGATGTAAATTAAACTGATTACTCTATAAACGTAGTGTTTTTAAACTTACTTCAGAAAATAAAAATATTTATCATGAAAATTATTGAGAAGGACACTAAAAATATTTAACTTAAAAAAAAATACATTGATTTACCTACAAGTAATATGTATACATACTAATTTAGCCTTATAATTTTTAAATTTATTGTATGTATAATTATTTGACACATTAAACACAACATATATTTAATATATAAATCAGAAAATATTTGAATATTTTGTTACTTTGACATTAATACCATCAATTAAAATATACTTTATAAAATCTGTATTATTATTATACAATATGAATTAAATATGTACAGTAATAAGAACTAATTTAAATGATAATAGTAATATTAAATTATCAAAAAAAATGATTGTTAACATCAATTTAATTCAAGCATTTAAATTTGAACTGTAATAGTGGCACACAAAGGATTTTTTCGAGTACATACAATTAAATAAAATTATACCCAACCACCAATTTAGTTCCTAACATAATACCTATCTAGTGTAGGGGTATCAAGAAGAGCTTTGGTAAATTGTTGTTGATAAAATATTTATCTAACCCAAGAACCAATATTTTATTCTTAGTTGTCAATATAAATTTAATGATATTTAACTTAAGAACATATTAAATTTAATTTTACCAAACAGAAATTTGAATAATTGTAGATTAAAATTAATATTTAAGGTGTAAGTATCAACAAACAAAACACATTTACAATAGCTGCTGGTTGAATACAGAATAGCAATAGTTGATACTAAGATTTTCTATTATACAACATCTATCATATTATCAGGTATGATATGGTATATCTTATAATATTCTATATAGTAGGTAGTATAGACTAATTACCTACTATAGTTAAAATATAACATATTTATAATCCATTGTGACCAAGCCTGGATTAAGGGGGGGAGGCAGAGGGCTTCATGGTCCAGGCCCACAACGGATATCAAACAATAGTAGGCCCCTGGCAGATAGTAGGTTTTTTTAAGTCTTTTTTTTATCTCATATAAAAAAAGGAGAAATTATAGAATAAACAATAATAATAGATAGAAAAAACAATAAAACGAACAGTTCTCAAGTAAATTTAAATAGTTTAATTGTTTTGTGTTCAAGGAGTAATGTTTTGGAGGTAATTAATATTGATTATATAATTAAAGGGTTTGCTTTCCAAAAAGAAAGAAAAAATTATTTATACAAATAAATTTTTTATTTTTGTATTAAAAAAAGCAAAAAATTAATTTATAAATTAGAATATAATTTTTTTTTTTTGGCTCTGAAATATAGGTATTTATTTGTGGGTCATCAATATTTTGATTATGGTTATGGGCCCCTAAAATTGTTTGGTCCCAAGTCCCAAACTATCATAATCCGGGCTCGATTGTGAACATTGCATTGATAGTTTAATTATTAATTAATAGCTCCAATGAAACAATAAAAACAATGCTAAAATCATTAATTATAAGAGTTTATCACTAGACAATCAAAGAAAAAGTAAAATTAATTTTGAGGAAAGCCCAAAAGTGTGTACATATATTAAAATAAAATTATAATTATATAATACAATTATTATGATTCACTAATCTAGAGGTCTCTAACCTTTTTTTTATGGTAGGCCAAATCTCAGATACACTTTGACATCATGGGCCAAAATTGTTTATAGGAATAGAGAGGTAGTGAAGTTTTTGTCAACTAAATTTTGTCAATTAAAATCAATACAAACCATTTAAGAATTTTTTTATTTTTATTATTAATACTTATACCTCCTAGTATCTATATAGCAGAATTGGTAATATACATGCATAAAATGACAAAAATGTATATGTTGTTTTTAAAATTCACTCTTAAAAAATTAAAAATATTTCTTATTTCAGATAGTAAGTTAGGTTTTAAATTTAAATACTTAGTAATAATATAGGTATTAAACAGTTAAATATTATATATGTTATATAAATTATAAAAACATCTTTTTGTTTGCAATTTTCTTTTCTTACCTTTCGAATAGATATCTATCTAGAAGATATTTATAGAAAAATAATAAAATATTGTTATGGATACAGAATATAATATATTATTACATTCATATTCTAAAGTAAAATCTAAATGTTGCCAAAGTTAATATCTAATATGGAATATTTTTATATACATAAAATAAGTCTATTTTTATTTCCTACTGCTATTATTTATTAAACAATAAATGAAAAAAAAAATTACCAATGAACAATTATTTAAACTAAAATATTTACATTAACAATTAAAACACTTGTTGTGTTTTCTATGTTTTATGTACAATCTAATAATATAAGAATATTAAGCATTATAAAAATCACAAGTTAATTAAATTTACTATAATTACGTCCGTGATAAAATAATGATAATTATTAATACTATTAATAATTGTTTTTTTAATAATAGATTAATTGCTCCACATTGTCTATACATAAATTATATTTTTTTTTTTAGTTTTAATTATAAATTTATGTTGTTGACAATGGATTATATTTTTATACAGTACAAGACGTCTATAATTATGTGTTTATATGAAACGTCTTGTATGTACGTAAAAATACGTTTAAATTTTGTTTTATAGTATAATATAACTCCTACCTGTTAGTAAACGTGTTTTGAACTCGGCCAGCAATCACTCAGACTTCATACGATTAGTATAGGTAGGGCGAAACCGATGTGTTGACGAACAAGTTCTATTGAATTTATGTTAAAAATATCAGGCGAACTCAGTTTTACCCGCAATAGGTACATGGCGTTTATTTTTGCGACGAGTGATCAAGGAAAATTCGAGTTCTACGAATTAGATTCAAGATTATTATTATTATTACTGTTGACCGTTTTAAATATCCGAACGATCGCTGTACGAATTTTAGAAGTAGTCGCGATTACGCAATAATACTGGTAGGACGCGCGCCCGGAAATCGTGAGAGATGCGGTGTACGTTGTACGGTTTCGTAACACGTAACATTTGCATGCTCGGCTCGCGTCGGTTGAATCGTCAGGAATTGCAACGGACACGTAAATGAAATGATAACATGAAACTATGGTCACTATCGTCGAAGATTGAAACAAGCACTGTACGCGCGAAACGCGGTTGACGAGCTTGGACCAAGGTAGGTGAACATCGCCGATCATTGTGGATACGAGATTGCAAAGCGTAAAGGGGAACGTATTTGGGCACGCTATCGTTGAACACATTTGGTCGTAATTCGATATTAATTATTTTTCATTGTCAAAATAATTATTGGCAAAATTAACAATGGTGCAGTCCTTTTAAAATCAACGCTTGTGAATAGGTAATTGACATTTTATAATTGAAATATTAACCGCTGTTGATTGGGCTTTACGCTTTTATAATTCAACATTTGTTGATTCATTCAATTAAAACACGTATCTAAGAATGCAATTTCCGAAATGTTCATTGCTTTTTAAGTTGGTCAAGATTTTAAGATGAGAATCCCAGTTGAAGTCTAAGTGAAAATGTAATTTTAAAGAGACCTGCTGTAGGTAAATATTTGAATTTTTAATTAAATGTTCTTATATCTGCTCTAACGAATTCTATACAGATTCATTTATCATATTAAATAATATTGTAGTGAAGTACTATTTAAATTAAACAGCTTCAACCAGTATAATTGTAACTTATATTTGTTATACAACATTGGAAAATTTAATCTGTGCATTCTATAAAATTTGATCTTGAAATTATTTATAAATACAACTACTTTTTGCATGAATATTCTAGAAGTGGCAAACAACTGTATGTCACTTATACAAAGGAATCTCAAGTATATAATAATGCACATTGTTATGTACATTTAGTAAATAATGATAGTGTAGTGTTACATATGTCATTCAATATAAATTATCATTGAAATATTTTGATAATTTCTAAAATTTAATGCCAAATAACTAACAAAGTTTGCTTAATAATATTTTAATTTTAACTCAATCACTTAATTTTTGTTCATAATTTAATTGAAAGAAAATCATTTTTATTTTATGAAAAATAAAACCATTGAATATTTTTGAAACTTAAGTTATAAGATAAAATTAACACTACTCAATTGTCATATAACAAATCTGTATACATTTCTTATATACTTAGATAAATCTAAAAAAAATCTTAGTTAGAAATGATCTCTTTGCCCTAATATTAAAAATTAATGAATTAGTCAGTTTCTATACCAAAGGAAATCAATTTTATTGTAGACAAATAATTATTATGCAATATTTGATTCAAATTTGTTATAATTTATGAAACTACAAAAACTGAAACAATAGGTATGATATCAATTTAATGTTCTTAAATTCTTAATAATTTTAAAAAAGAATTATATTAATCAGTTAAAATAATGGATTATGATACAACATTTTTTAAAGTTTCACAATTAATAATAAAAAGAAACAAAACAAAAAAAAAAAAAATCAAACTTCAACCTATTAATATGTATATATGTATAACAAAACAATAATAATGAAACATGGAACATTTTTAAGACGGCTAAGTACGGCAATACATAAAACCAAGCATTAAGCACCTAGTTAAGTACAGTTCTTACTTAAAACTTAATTTAAATTTATTTGCTCAACTTTTCCAAAAATGGTACCAAAAGTTTGCAATAAAAAACAGTTTTTCTAATTAATAATAATGTTCAATAATAAAAGACATTTATCAAATTATAATGTTAAAAATAAATTGTAACGACATACTAAGTATAATACCGACAGGTAAATATTTTGAATACACATAAGCACTTAATATAAATATAATTAAAACATACAATTATAGGTGGATACTTTTATATAAATTTAATAATATAATCATTCAGTTTTTCATCAATCTGAGTTTAGTTATTAATTTAGTGAAATGCTTACAACTAGTTCATACAAATTAATTTAGGTATTATATAATTAAAAAAATGATTTATGGACATCAAATAGTTAATAACATTATTTGATATAAAAATAAAAATAGAGATCGCAATACATCAATTTGTTTATTGCCATCGTTATATGCTCAACATAGCAAGGTAAATAAAATAATAATAATAAATGGGCATTAACTAATGACAAATAGAAACAACTTATTATTATTATTAATTAATATGGAAAAATTGGTAAATAAAGAATTAATAGCTGAAATATCGAAATATAATAATCATCAAATTATTTTTAAAATTTCTCATTAATTCCTTATCTTTCTAAATAAATTAACATTTTATGAAATATTTAATACTTGGATTGTTTTAACTTACTTAAAACATTTGAATCTATATATATATATATATATATATTTATATATATATATATATATATTTATATATATTTATACTATACAAATTATAATTAAAAATAAACTAAAAACTTTTTAAGTAAATAATTCACTAACCAAACATTTTATTTTTAATATAGTTTTTATAAGACCACAGTGGTATTAAATATAATTGTTGTAATTATAATGGAAAAAATTATTGATATTAATATGAATCATAAGTAATTATTTCAAAATAAAAATAATGAAAAATGTATTGTATTTAGTACTGTAAGAAATCTACGGTTAAGGATTTTAATTAACTAATGTTAAGATGCTCAATTTTGTTCTAAAGTTCCAACAATTGACGTAATAAAAATAAAAAATATCCTTCCAGAATATTCTTTTACTGAATTTGAATAAGATAAGTAAAATTTTAAGTAATTTGTTTCCAGATGTATTCAGCTAGAAGTGAAGTACATTCAGTACATGAGCAATTAACGTGTTCTCAACTATGTTTTGGTTGACCATCCATCTGATGGCGTGGCAACTATGAAAACATTGTATACATTTAAAAAAACACAATAAATAATTATTAATTTTTTATTAACTTACAGTCATGTTAGAAGGTTGTTGTGCAGAACCCTGGAACATAGTATTAGGATTCAAAGCGCCCATATTTTGGTTGACTTGTCTTCGGTTGTCTGGTCTTGGCTCTTGGATACCTCCTCTTATAACTACTTGGGAGGGTATATTATTTGATATATGATGAGCTGGATGTCTATAAATTATTATTTATAATAATTTATTGATAAAATTAAACTATTTAAATATTATTATATTTATTATAAGTTAATCAAACCTGTTTGCCATTGAATGGTTTTGGTATCTATGCTGCATTGAAGAATCAATATTCCTATGATTAGACTGATAATTTGATCTTGGCGGTTGAATAGGAATAGGACCATCTGTATGATTATTAGTAAGAGGTACGGGTGTTTGGTTTCGATTATCTTAAAATGAATAACATATGAAAAAGTTGAAGTTAGTTTTATTTTTTATAAAAACATCATTGAGTTATATAAATTAATTACTTTGAGGTGTAAGTGGAATTGCTAGACGTGCATTAACAGCTAATAAGTGATCACGACGTCTTGTATAATTTGCTAATTCATCTTCCAAGGTCACATTTTCACTTTTCAATTGATACAAACATGTTAACAACGAGGCAACTATAATATTATAAATAAGACCGTTTAAGTTAAAAATTATACTAAATTTTTTTTTTCTATTTCATACTGTCAAAGTGTTGAGCTTGCTCCATTAAAAATGCTCCACCTTGTTCCCATTGTCTTTCAAGCAAATCTTCTAAAGCATGAGTGTTATTATTATTAATATTAATTCCATTCGAAAATGAAGGCCACGCAGAAGGTCCTTGAGGATGAGGTGTTTCCTATAAAAAGAATGCAATAAATATATGTATTTTAATTACATAATGAAATAGAAAAACTAAAAGCATTTCAACATGAAATAAAATTAATATTTGTATTCCTACTCTCATATGTCAACTATTTTTGAAAAAATACCACAACTAAAATTATAAAATAATTTATTCTAAAATAACTTTCTGCTCCATACTATATATAAATACATATAAATTAAACAACTTGATTAACAAACCAAATGGTTTTGTGTTGGTTTTTGATTTCGTCGCTGTAAAACATGTTTTTGTGCATTGGCTGATGAATTTTGTTCACTATTATACATTCTATGTGTTTCCATTTCTTCATTTAAATTATTTTCCATTTTTTGTGCCGCACTGGATGTTGGATTTAATGTATTTCCCAACATGTGAGGGACGTTTGTACTATTTTAAAATCATATTTATTATATAATATTTCATACAATATAATAATATACATTTTTACTTACACTTTTCTATCAGGACCTTCTGCTTTTAAAACTTGTTTATTATGTGAAGGAGTACTAATAATGCTGGTTTCTTTTTTTAATGTATTTGATTCAGGAATCTTGGTTAAATTAACAGTAGATCCACCTTAGTAAAAGATAAATTTAAATAATAAATACATTATTTTCTATTGGTTTCTAGTACTATTATACTATATATTTAAAGCATTATTTCTAAAGATTAATTTTATGACTTTTAAAATATTAATTCACTATTTATCAAATTTCTCATTTAACACAATATGTTTTAGTTTTTTGCACTTGGTTTTATATGAATACATTATTTAATAAAAACATAAACTATTTTTTTAATACAACTGAAAACATAAACTTGTACTGACTTGATTTCATATTTGTATTTTTATTTTCAATACGATACAAGTTTGTTTCTTCAGTTATTTTTATTCCATTAGAAAGTTGATCATTGTCTGCCTTAGTGGTATTCATTGCATTCTTTGTTTTCTGATATTTAGTAGTTTGTTTCTTTTCAGTTTCAGAATCTTCTAGACCCTGTTTCTTACTAGTTGATGATTTATTTTCAACTTTAGTCCCAATTGAAATAACTAAATTCCCAGACTGATTGGTAGTTACAATATGATGACCTGATTTTTTATGATCATCACTTGGTATGTTTTGATTTTCTGAATCTTTGTTTTTTTTATCATTAGTAATTTTATCACCTAAAACAAAATTATACAATATAAGTTAATTTAATAAATTTAATATAATACTCGGAAGTAAATGACAGATATGTTAGCAAGGCCAGTTTACAAGAATCAATGAGATAAAACATACAGGAAAAAATTGAACTTAAGTTATACATCAGTAAACAATATATATTAATATAAATTAGATACCTTTATAACCAATAATAATATAATATATATTTATGAACTAACCATATTGCTTACACATTTTTATTTTACTTTAATACCTAATTAGTATGCATACCTAAATTATTAATAATAGTTAATTTTCGTTTTGGTTTTGAAGTTTGAGGGTCCAAATCTGTATTTAAAGATAGTAGTTTTTCTGGAGTATTATCTGATGATGAATTTTCTGATTGATTTTGAGGGCGATATGGAGCGATAGGTTTAACATTGTTGCTTTTTTTTTAGAAGTACAAAAAAAATTAGTCACTTATAAATATTAATAAAAATAATATATTACGTTTAATATATTTGAAGACAAAAGTAGTAAAATACTAACCAACTTAGAATAATGATGCTTACAATAACCAACATATTTAACATTATCGTAGTAATTTCCTGCTTCTTCACACAATAAACCAGCACTTTGAGCACATGTCACATGAAATACTAATTTGCAACCAGATTTATTACATGGCATACATGCTCCATATGTTGTTGATTTAGGTCCTTTATTTTTTTCTTCACATATATAACACAACTGAAAAATGAATAAATAAATAGCATAAATATAAATAATTATCATACATACATTTGCTTTTTAAAAGATAATTCATAATTTATAACACAATTTATATGGTTTTTAATACTACTATAAGGGCTTGAAACTGAAGATAAAGAATTAAATAATGAAATACAAACACTATCAAATAAGCGAAAGTAGATGAAGTGAAGGTTACTAAGCTTTATGCCATGCAAAAACTGTACAATAATAAACTAAATAGTAATATGCTATTAAGCTTTTTGTGTTATTCGTATTTATTAGTTATTCAACCTTTATCAATAGTAAATATTATTTCTATAATGTATGTTAAACATTTAAATTTTATAAATGTAACTATAACTCATTTTACATTAAATAAATAATTTAGTATAAACTTTAAATTTTGAACATTTTAAATAATCTGATTAGAAGATGGAAATTTGAATTTCTTATAATAATTAACAAATGTTTTAAACAATATTGATACTTGATTAATAATTAATAGTTCCAGATAAAAAATTCAAAATGTTGATTAACATATACTTAAAATAAAAAGCAGTTAGGAAAATTTGAAGTCAATTTAACTAAATAAATGTAAATTACAATACATTATATCATAAACATCTATACTAAAATAGATAACTAATTTTCTTATATTTATTTACATATTAACATATAAAATAACTGAATTACAATCATTAGATTGTAAATCAACAACACATAACAAACATGCACTGATACTATTAAATTCTACAATTAATTAAATTAAATTATCTACCATTCTAGTATTATCTAACAAAATAAAATAATAAACAAATACATTTTATTACCTAATAATATAAATATTGGAAACTTAATAAATAAATGTTCAAGCCCTATGAAGACGAAAATAATTGATATGTGGTAAATTAATACTATTTACTCTGTTAAAGCGGTCTTTGGGTATTGCACCCAATTTTACTGGTTCCATAGTAGTAACATCCATAAATGTAACTTCTGGTATATACAATGCGCAAACAACATGAGCCCAGTTCCCATTTTCAGTAGGTTTTAGGGCACCATCTTTAGATGGACATAGTTCACATTTCTGAAAGTAATGCTATAAGTTTCTTACATTCTAAGGAGAGTTTTTAAATTACTCTAATTTTAAACGAACCACTTTAATAGATTTTTCTTTAAATGCTTCACATTTCCTGCAAAACCATTCTCCTTTGGGTACAATTCGAATTCCATAACAAGCTGTTATAAGATTTTCAACAAATTAAACAATATCTATTTTAAAAATTCAACCAAAATTTACAATGTGTAACTATGTGTCAATAAATAGTACAATTTTTAATAATTTGACAACTATTGTGCTAATGACAGCAAACTTACCTTGATGTACAGCAACGTTACAATTAGGTCCATCACAATACACCAAGGGGTTTTCAGTCCATCCCGTGTCATCACAACATACGCTGCATCCACCAAGCATTTCTTTCATTTTGGATATTTACTACAGATTCAATTGTATTTAAATGATTTTTTTTTTTTTATTAAATATCTGATATTATTGTGTTAAATTCTATAACATTTAACACAGATTTTAAAACAATAGGATAGTTGAGAACAATAAAAATAGTAAGTTTTTAACTTAATCAAGAATACTTTATCATATATACTCTAAATCATACAAAATAATAACAATAATAATAATAATGCTTAGATAAATCATAATTTAATAATAGGTACAACAATTCTATAATAGTCATTATAAACAAAATACCAATAGTATATTCAAAAAATATTGATCAGAAAATATATCAAATATCAATTACAGTCTACATAATACAACATAAACATAAATCAAAGTAAAACACTTTAACTAAACAAAATAATAAAATAGATTTGTATTAGGCGCAATATTATATTTAAAACTAATTGCAAACAACAAGACACTTCCTATATACACCCGATACCGCATAGAAAAGTCAACTGCTATTATTATCCAAATTATAATTCAACAGCAAAACTGACTGGCATTCGCATATATAGATGTAAATAGTTCATAGCCAGACCAGTATAATAGGTAAAAAGGTATTGTATAGATTTACAACTCATCAGCACTACAGCGAAATATTTGAAATGCTCCATTGCCACAAGCCTAATGTAATATTACTATCAACAAAAATATAAAATTGAAAACAAATACATACTTTTTCCTGCGTCTACAACTTAGTTTGCGAAATCTCGAAACTTTATAAAGAACTCATTCAGTCGTAAAACCGGAGTGGAAACTGCTGTAACAATATTTCTATAGAGACAGATGTCTAAACAAAATGTTCGGTTTACAACTGCGGATTATATAAAATCAATAATGATAACGATAAATAAATTATTTAGAAGACATGGAGAGGCAGAATTCAAGCAAGGTGAAACGTTTCACATCGGTTGGTGCCGATCCGTAATAGTTATTGTCACTGCGCGTTATCATACAGTTCGTGATTTGTTATCAAAACGCCTAAGAATAATTTTTGCTTACGTATCTTTAGACGGCGCGAGGATTTTAATTGTTTTAGCGACGCTGCAAACGTTTTATTGAACTTTGACTATAATATATTCATAATAATATGATAATATGTTACCAACATCGAGATCTGTTTAAAGGCTGGTTTACACGCAACGACTTATTGTATATTTTATTGGACTTATAAAACGTACATGTTCTAGAGTGTTTACACGTTTTAATTTTTACTCAGTTTACTATCTCAGTTCAACTGTATTTCTCTTCACTTTTCAGTAGTATTTAATTATTTTAGTAATTTTTGATGATATGGAAGAAGCACTTTTGTGATTTTTTTACCATATAAGCCTTAATATGTATGCATAAAATTGCTGTAAACCAGATAAGTTCTCAAAAAAATATCACTTGAATCCAATTTTATATTATTTATTAAATAATATAGGTAAATATATTAGTATAGTTTACATTCAACTTCGCATAAAAATGAAAATGTACATTTTAGTTTTCCGATCCAATATTTGGATTTCATTCTGATAATAGGATTCAATAGGACATAGGTTTTACAGCAGTGATGTCCAACCTTTTTTCTTTGGTAGACCATTTTGGTAAACCAATCTTAATAATAATCTTAGAGCAGGTCACCAAATATAAAAGTACGAATAATACCAATATTAATATAATGTTATTTTGTTACATATAGTAGAAATACAATGTGCATGTAGGTACATGTTAAATTTTTTTTCAATAATTTTATTGATTAATGAAAAGATAACAGATTGAGATATACGATGTATGTATACATTAATTTGATCAGTACAGTCTTTCAAGTGCACAAGTTATATCATGAAATTTCTATTTGAAAATACTTGAAAATCAAATTATTATATTTTTTTAAAAAAAAATATTTTTTAAATAATTTTTATATTTTGTTTTATTTAAAAAAAATTGTAACAGGCCACATTGATTACCTACAAGGGTCACATGTGACCATATCATACTGATTTACAGTATACACGTTCCGTTTCACTTGACACAAATGATTGATAAAATGTACAATAAATTGTAGCGTGTAAATTGGCTGGCTCATTTGTACAATTCGACATAATGGAAAACAAATCAGTGTTCAATTACAGTGGCCAATATTGACAAAGAAAATGATAAAACTAGTCACTTCATATTTACAAAAAAACTGAGCAAGAATAAAATTATTTTAGCATTTGGAATTCAAAACGATTAAAAAAGCATAAATATGTATAAAAAATGTGCACTTTTAGTTTTTTCTTAAATATTTTCAAATAAACAAATAGTGAAACCCAGAATTAATGTTCTCGAGTTAATTTAATTCATGTAGATATGGGCAGTTATAACTACACTCTTAAAAGTAAAAAAATGACTAATTTTTTATATTATACTTTTACATAATACATTTTGTAGATATAATTTTTAAAATCAACAAAATAAATAGCTTTAAAAATTGTCATTGAATATAATTCTTTTATTTTAGCTATCCATTAAGATACAACCTAACATAAATTGAAAATGAACACTAACGAATCATTTTTCATCAGTTTTTCTCAAAACTGTTAGAAAATTATAAAAATTATTTCCTAAATGTATCAAAAATACACAAGTTTTTATTAGGTAGAAATTGAAGATTGAAGCAATCCTGGTTAAAATCATACCATAGACATACAAATAGGTCATAATTAGAGAACGGATATTAATGCCATAAAAAATTTAAAAAAACGACTTAATGCCTTAAAAAAAATGATAACATTAAATGTATAGTATTGTTTAGAATATTTTAATGTATATAAATGACTTAAAACATAAAAATGTCAAAAAATGCTCTTAAAAAGAAAGTCTCAAAAATGCGAAATAAAAGTAACATTTTTTAATTCCTTGATGTATGAAATGAACTTTGTGCTTGAAAAGCAGCGTTTTTGGATATTCAGAAAAAAATGCAATTGTTCAAATCCCTTCCTTAGTCGTTATGTTTATTTTCAATGTTTTAAGAAAGTGAAGAAATAATGCTAAAGTAAAAATAACTTCATTTGATACCATATTTTATATTGTTTTATTATCAGAATATAATTTTATTATATTTTTACTTGAATTTATTATTTAAAAATGAGAACTTCTATGATTGTAATTTCTTCTAACTTCTACATAATTAATTTATGAAATATTAAATATATTATGGTTTCTATTTGTTTAAATATTAAAATCTTTAAATAACTAAGAGTCTAAACATATTTTGAAGATGTGTAAAATTTAATAATTTTAAAAAAATTCAAAATTATTTAAAAAAAAATTGATGTTGTACAAAAACTTAAAAATATAATTTATTTTTGACTAAAACCATTCATACATAACTGGTAAATAATACTCAGTTTTTAGATGATTTCAAAACTTAATTCTAAATAAAGATCTACTGAAACCAGACAGAATTGCATGAGATCTACGAATTATTCCAATTATAACAAATTTTTAATAAGACAAATTACAACTCCCATTTTAGACAGGTCGTACTGCAATTGCATTAGAAAAATAATTATTATTAATTGTAAGTACCTATTATTTATAATATATTAAAATTAATAACTTATATTCCATAGATAATAGTAGCCAATAAACTTGCAAGATTGGAAATCTGTTTTTATATAGTAGTTTTTTTTTTTTTTTATAATGATACAATAAATTGTTGATAAGTATATATTTTCTTAATTTCAATAAGTAAATAAAAAAAATCTTAATATTTATATTTAGGTACACATTTTAAGGTTTACATAATTTTTTTATTGATACTTGAAAAAAAAAAACCGTACTTATTATTATCTACATACATAATACAAAATAAATGATTTGCTCTAATTGATTCATTAAAGAGGACCAATCTTACAATCTTTACATAAGTAATTATTATCGAGACATTTAATTGTTGGGATTAATTGGCCAATTTAGAATCTGATTAGGAACCTATTTGTTTAGTTGGTGATTTGAAATTACATTTTATCCAAATCCAACTATTATTTCACCAATAAGAACATTTTGCAATATAGGTATCTATCAAAATAATCAAATTAATTGATAATTAACAATAAGTATAATCAAAATAATTTAATAATTTTGTAAATTAATGTCATTATTGAAAAATTGGGTTAAAAACTAACATCAGTCACTGATATTAATAGACTATTAAATAGTATAAATCAATTAATAACATTAATGTAAATTGTAACGTTTATTGATTAATGAATTATGTTACATTGTTAAGAACTGCTATCAAATTTATATTTCATAAAAATCTACTGTACCATAAAACTATTTCTTGGGTAATAATATCTATACTAACCAGATCCTTAAGATTTTTTTTTTAGTTTAGTTTTTTGTATATATTGAGTAAAATACATTTGTATTTATGACTAGATTTGTTTTTTTTTTTTTTTTTTTAATGCACAGTAATTAAAATAACATATATAAGCTTAAAATCACCAATAAAATTATTCTAATAAATTGAAGCAGATTGTGAAATAATTATAAAGCAAAGCACATAATTAACTATCGCATTAAATGTAATAAAATAAATATAAATACAGCAACCATAATTTACAAGCAAATCGCAGATTAGTAAAATAAATTGCACATGTATGAAATCTTATTCTGATTGAAATTTATTATATTATTAAACTATTCAACGCTCCAATAAAAAAATGTTCAAAGCTGACACTGATTGAAATTCAGATCGAGATCGAATAGAAATAAGACCAATAATTTCGTTGTAAAAGCATATGAGAGAAAATATCCTGAGAAGCATGTAAACAGCAACTGATATTCGAAAGAGGTACCGTCATACAACGACACAGCTTCTTTTTCCGCCTGTATGTAGGAGGAAATATAAGTTGGTGTCGCTGTGAAAATGATAAGATCTTAAAGGGTTGTCACAACCTTCAGCTAGAAAACCGACGGCCGCAAGTGGACACCGGGTCGTTGTTGCCCGAGAATTACGAATTACCTTTTTCGGGAACGGCGGATTTTCGGTAAAGTATTTCGTTGTCAACGAAAGATCCATTATGCTATTACGCCAACCGGTGAGTACCGCGTAATGGTGACGATAAATACGCGTACGGACTCGGGTACTACCGCGGCAGGGAGGTGAAACAAGTGACAACTTTCTTGAAACGGTAGTAAAACCAACGTGTGCTGTGGCAACCACGAATACGTGAAAAATAACCTGCGCAGGTGTCACACGATGCGGACTATGCTTGACCGCGCTGCGGGAGTTCGGAATAGCGTGGGTATCAAGCGGTTCAAGACGCGGTCAGCGCCCGGGTCAGGGTTAGTGCGTCAAGGACGCTGTAACAACATCGATCTTAATAACGGTATTCGCGGGCGGGAGGGTGAGCGGGAGAGTATCAGATGACCGTCACTTCATCGACGACCAGAATGGTCACCAAATGGTCACCAAATTGTGAACGCGTGACCGATCGGCCGCTGATGGCGTCGTATCGTTTTTTTATTATGGACTAGAATGATTAGGCCCAAGGACACGGCGACCATGGCCATAAAAAAAAAAAAAAAATACGAGGTCAAGGAAATTATGTTTACAATTTTTGAGATTTGTACAATTTTCACATCATAAAATTATAATAATATCCTCAAATACTCGGAAACTTTTTTTTATCATAAAAAAAAAAAAAAATTATGATGAAACTATAAACTATAACCATTCCACACTTTTTTGATATTTATATTTTTATTTCTTTTATTTTTCTTCACTAACGAAAGAATATCAGAAACAGTTTAGAAACAGATCAGTATGGAAAGGTTAAATAAAAGGCGAAATTAATGGACAAGGCATATCTGATTTGTAGAAGGTTTCTAAGGCTAATTTTGGAATTTAAATAAAAATAAAAATATAAAATTAATAAAATAATGACGGTTTAAATTAATGTTATAACATTTAATTATATTTAAAATTTTATAATTGAGGAATAACAAATTCATAGAGATTTATAAAAATATGGCTGTAACAAATTATATATATTAAATTATATCTAAAAATAATTAATTTTAATATTGCCAATATATGTATTATCATGTTATTAAATAATTCTATAAGGAAACTAATTAATATGTCAAATACACACAACGTAAAATTATTTATAAATGAAAGTTATTTATATATTAAGACAGAATGTTTTTGTAACTATAATTAACTATATCAGCGGTTCTTAACCTTTTGTAGATCACAGATCACTGATGAAAGATTTTTAGAAATTGTGGACCCCTTTACAATTTTTTTTTCCTATCATTTTTTTTTACAAAACATCTTATGTTATTAAAACCAAAATTATAATAATTATTTTGTATAATAAATTACATTAACAGACATAACAAAACATACATATTTATAATTACTTTTATTAAATTAATTTTTCAGTTAATTTAAATATAATTATTTTAGTTTTCATTTCTTTTTTTAATATACTTAAAATGTAATTTTTATTAACTTAATGCATCGGTTGGTGTTATATTTAGGACACAAGTTATAAGTTTAGTTAAGATCTATCTATTATAAAATAAAAAATTTGTGAAAAAAAAAATAATAATAATAATAACCCAACAATATTATAATAATGCACTGATGTCACATATTGACGTATGTTATGTGTTAAGGTTGCCGCGGACCACAGGTTAAAACCGCTGAACTATATAATTATATATCATACTTATGATGTATAAAAAGTTTGAATGTTGAATTAAGATTTAATTAATATTTAATCACTAATCAGTCACTTGAAATAAAATAAATAAGTAAACATTATAATTAACATATTAATACAAAATTATGTTAATTATGGTTTCTTTAAGACAATGTGTATTTGACCACTAATTTTAGAAACACTATTAGAGTAATATAAAATATATTAAAAATAAAACTAAAAATACAATAACTAATTAATAATACTGCACATTTAATACCATAAGTTTATACATTTATAATACCCTGTGTAATTTTGTTCAATAATAAAAAATAAAATTATTAAATACTAAAAAGTAATATGTAAAAATAGTTGAATACATAAGATTCATTTAAGTAGTATACGTTACTTTTAAAAAAGATATAAAAATAATTTATTCGATTAATATCTAAGGTGAGAGAGCATTATTATTAATGAATTTAGATGAAGATTGACTAATCGACAACTGATTAGCTAGAAGTTTTAACTTATAGTCCAACCAATATTGACGGTTTATTGTATATTGTTGAAATAAAGTAATAAAGTTGATTATTTTTTTTTAATGTCATTAAATTGTTTACTTTTTAAATATGTTTACTGTTCATTAAAGAAATTGTCACCTTACCCATAGATAATGCATATTAGAATCAACAAGTCGAAAATAACAAAAAGTAATGTAAACAATCATTGGTGACACTATTGGTGAAAAAATTATTTAATTGATTTAATTTTTTTAATAAGCTGTCAAATAAATTCCAAATGATCAAATACTTAAGGTAATATACTCATTAATAAAACTGTAATCTATAAAAATCAAATTTGTATATGAATTTACAAAGATAAATACTATAAACAACTGAATCTGTCAAAAGTGATAAATTAAGCCAATCTTCAACCAAATTAAATTTTTTACTGTAGTTATAGTTACAATAAAGATAATCTTATGATTTATGAATAATAAAATCCCAAGTATCTTTCCAACGAAGTTTGAAAACTTCTTTAGATGTAAGAGGAGTCGTTCCATAACTAAAGACAATGAACCTTTTAAATACATACATAACACTTAAAATCCAGATACAAAGACTTAAATGAAATATAAATCTGAGCATTAATTTTGTCCTGTAAATAAACAAATATTATAATATCAATATTTAATGGAAAATAAGTAAACTCTAAATTACATACTTAACAATATTTGCGACATGTTGTATTAAGGCAGCACATAGCAATATCTTAAAAACAAGTGCTGGTAAGTAATGATGTAAAAATAATGTACGATCAATAAAAAAGTATGGAATATAATGTAAACCATAGCCAACAACTAATACTTCTCCAATTGTTTTGAATTGTTCCCATTCATCTAAAATATTATTAAAAAAATATTAATGAACTGAATATCTTTTAAGAATCATCGTAAATATATACCAAAAGATAAATCATAAATTTTTCTTCTTTGTCGTAGTAAATAAAAAACAAAAAATGCTAGGTATAATATAATACAAAATGTTGATGAGTACCAAACAACAATATTCCCCAGTAAATGAATTTGTCCCTGTAGTATAAATAAATTATTTAATAAATATTTCATCATTTATGTTAAACTAGAATTACTTACATTATCATGTTCACTTAACCAATATGCTACTCCTCGGACCATTAAAGGCCAATCAAGGGGATCACTGCTGTACATGTGGGAGTGGACATTTTGAGTGTTTGGAGAAGAAAATATAATTTTATACTGTAATTCCCAAAATCTTTCCCAGAGCCCAAGTTTTGTTCCTTTGGATGGTATCATTTCAGCAGCAACAAGTTCACGTTCTCTCTCTTTTTCGTTTTCACCTTATGTCAAAATAAAATTACATAAAACCATAAAATATCAAATGTATTTAATTGTTATATTGAAAATCAAATTACTTTTGGTATAGCGATGTTCTTCAACGTTCCATACTGTATCGTCTTGAGATATTATTTTGTCTGTAACTACTTCATGTTGATTAAATCCCCAATCAGGCAATTGTCTACCACTAAATTTCAATGCTTGTGTTGAGTTGAAATGAACTAGTATTACCTTTAAAATATTAAATGTAAATAATAATTGAATTACTATTATAATTTTTAGATTAAATTTACTTGTGAATTTATAGCCTGCCAAACATCACCAAATTGGTCTCGATTAATTATTTCAACTTTCCATAGGTTCTGGGCAGGCATAGACACATTATAATCTATATAACAGGATACTTCCTAAAAAGATATATTTTATACATATAAAAAAGTGATTGTTAATATATAAACGTTGAATTTTGTGGTTAAAATTTTTAATTTCAAATAAAATAACTGTACTTGATTTTGTGGAGATACAGGTGCTGCGACATCATGAGAATTTAAAGCACGACTAGTCATTCCATGCACTAGCTGAATAATATCACCATGTTTTATACTATCAGGATCTTTTGTATTTTCTACTGCAAGAGTATTTCTATCTGGTCGTTTAACTATCCACCAATTATTTACATCCTATGGAATTAAATTTAAAATATATATAAATAAGTAATTGTAATACATAAATTTATTATTTACCAACACATAATAATTAAAAATAATATAAAAAAGAATAAATAAAAATTTGCAAACCTTAAATGTGTAGCAAGTAACTTGTTGCTGATGAGAACTTCCTCGTTTATCTGCATATTTGATTGGGTATACATGAGTATGTGAGTGAAGCCAACATGTCCTGCCATGTGTATGTCTTAATGTTATTTGCGATCCATGTGAAACAAGCAAAGGTTGACCTTTTGTAATAGATGCTAGTCCACCCTAAATAAAATAATTTACATGAATTACAATAAATAAAATATATAGAAATAATTAAGACCTACCTCTAAACTAGCTTGAAAAGCACTTGTCATGACACTATCATGAGGTCCAGCTTTATTTAAAATTATCAAATGGACAAAAAAGATAGAAAAGTAAATAGAAATAGATATCGTAAATGTAATAATAAGTCGTAATACTGCACATAAAAAAATGGTAAAATCTGATAGGCGTTTGTCACCTAAATGATTGACCCAGAAGTCTCGACAAATTATCCATAAACTCAAAAGCCATGACAGTAGACCAACATATTTTACACTATAAATAAACAATACACAAAAATAATCATAAATCCCTAATGATTGTTACTATTTATTAGTCATTTACAGCACTGGGTAATAATAATAAAATAATAAATAATAATAATAAAAAATAATAATAAAAAATAAACATTTAAATGTAACAACATATTTTTTCATTTTTTTGTTTTAATTTCATTTGTATTTTATTTATGGAAATAACTTATTTCTTTATTATAATATATTGTGAATATTGAAAATACTATAAAGATATTTGATAAACATTAGTTTTCACTACATTAAATATTATGTTTATTCATATTCAACTAGTCTCAGAATTTTTCCTATTATTCTAATAATATGAGTATTGTTTACAATTTCCCCTTAGTTAATATATTTTTTCATATCTGTTATAACTGTAATTTAATTTCAAAATTATTTTTTTAAATTGCAGTTATTAAAGACAATGTAATGTTATATGATTATAAATAAAATGTAAAATTAATTTATTATTTTTCTTATAGTTATATGCCTAAATTATTTCTTTGCAGAAAAATTGTATACATTGAATATTATTACATTGATATATTATTACATTGTATAAATTAAAAAAAACAATATACAGTATAAATAATATTTTTGGTACTTATGTTGGTTGTCAAACTTGGTGAAATAATTTATATTTTTATTTATTGTTTTTTGTTAAATAAATGTAATGTAATGTAGTTACTTTTTTTTTTTTATTGACAATTTAATTAATATCACTGCAATTTAACTTAAGTATTAGCTTTAGTAACTAACAAAGAAATTATATTGTTTTTATTTCTAAGTAATTAGTAAGTTATGTAATAATTATTTAAAGTAAATTACCCAACACTGCTCTAACTTGTTATTGACAGTTCTATAATTTACCATGTAGCCATAGTTAAACAAACAGATGCAATAATTAAGTAGATCAATGCGCTTGGTGATTTCATATTCAGTCTTTTATATTTCAATACAAATAATAACCCACATAATGTAAAAAATATTAGTATTGATTCCATCAAAATGAAGCGAGATTGTGTCAAAAGTGTATTTTCTGAAAATATCAATTCCATGTATAAAATTCTAGTATAAATATAATACAAATAAATAATCAATTACCACAGAGAAGTAAAAATGCAGCAAGAGCTGCACACCAATTTCGACAGCCAAGTTCTAACATTAATTGGTATGCAACAGGAATAATTAAACTACCACATAATGCTGGCACAAAACGTAATCCAAATAAAGGAACTCCATCAGTAAATTCACTTCCGATTCTTTCAAATTTAAATTGACCTATAATTTTTTATTAATAGTAAGTGGATCATAAATAATCAAGTCTTTGAATATTCATTGACAAGACAACTGAGAAAATTAATTAATGTTATTATTAATTTAATTAATAGGAATAATTACTACTACTTTGGATTAAATACATTGTTGACAAGTCAATTTTTGTAATGTTATTAGTTATAATTTAAAATTAAATTAGTAGAATAAGGATGACAAATAAATTCTTCTACAAAACATACCATCATAGTTACATAAGTATGCAACTGCTGCTATAAGTTGTTTTCCAAGAGGTGGATGTGTATCAAAGAAAAAGGTTCGTTTCATATAAAGACTAATATATTTTCCATGATGGAGTTCATCAAATCTATATTTATTACAAACATTGTTAAATAAAAATAAGTACATTACAAAATAAATATTAAAAACTTACACAACATTTCGTGGTTGATCTAATTTGAAAAACCTGGACGATAAAGCTGATGCAAAAAGTATTACTGCCAGTACATTTATTTCAATACTTATTTTAAAGTTATTAAATAAATCAGGTTTTTGTTCATATGTTTCATCATTTTCAGAAATATTCTCAATTTTTTTCCCCTATAAATGTAAAAGTAAGACATACATTTCTGAGATACTAAAATCATTATAAAATTATTTTAATTGTATTTCTAAAATGTAAATAAAAAAAAAAAAAAAAATGTCCTTATTATTCATATTAAATCTGTAGATTTTTATAGGCACGCATATACAGTTATAACTAAAGAACAAATTTTTAAATTTTTATCTATATTTATTGGATTTATGAAGTGCAATAAGGATGAAAAATGTAGACTATTTATCTATTATAGAGTTTATAGGAATACATTTATTTTGCATATTAAAGTACATTTTAGATATTAGAAAATATTCAGCTCATTTTTCATATTTTGGAATATATTATTTTATTGCAATGGTTCTCAAACTTTTTTTCTCCACGGAGCCCTTATATTTTCAAAAATATTTATGGCGCCCCGAAAATCAGGAATTTATATTCAAGATAACTATAAATATTAATATTTAGAAAAACACACAGTTCAAAATTTCATTTTTTTTAAAGTTTGGATTTTGTCATTTACTGTGAAAACTTTGGTCATTTTATGTTGTATTGATAAATTTACTTTTATTTAATTTTGTGAAAATACCAGCCAAATTATGAAGTCATAATAATCAAATTTTATCAGAAGTCTTACTTGTAAATAAAATTGGTGTCACTAAAACGTATAACTCGTAGCACAATTCAGGTCACCATACCAGTGTTTTTCCTCAATAACTAAGAAATATAATATTTAAATTTAGATTATTAATATATGCCCACAGAGCCCCTAGACTTCTTCCGCGGAGCTCTAGTGTTTCGCGGAGCACAGTTTGAGAACCGCTGGTTTATTGTATAGGTATATTATATACTATATAAAAATACAAATAAATTATGTATTATTAATTTCTCGAGTTGTGATTTTTTTATCGCAAGAAAAATGTTTTATTTAATTTAGGAATGATAAAAATCATTCAGTTTCTATTCTATTTTCTAAGACATGTTTAGCAAAATTTGAATTAGGGACAGCATTTTTTAATTTTATTTTAGAAATGTATTCTTTATTATCTAATCTATACAAAATTGATTACAGTTACATTTAAGTATATATATACAAGCATTTTCAGAGAAAGAGGGATTTTTGTGAAGTTTTTAGTACTATTATATGTTTGATTAAATTACTATTAGTTTTAAAAGCAATTTTTACAATCTTAGTGTTATTGTTTAGAATTTTAGAAAATTTTTTAAATATTATTTCGATATTTAATACTATAATATTATTTGGTAAGTTAAGTTTTATTGAATTTTTATAATTGACATTTAAATTAAAATTTTGTTTATGGGCTATATTAAAGATAATATTGAGTTCCTATGATGAATTTTTAATTTGAAACTACTCTATTTATATAATAATACTCCAGGTTAAGTGTTTATTTATTTCTATATATTAACTATTTGTTCATTTATTTGTACATTTTTTATTTTATTTTTTATTAATCATTTATTAATTTTTTTATATTTATATATCTAAGTTTAAATAATATTTTAAATAAATTATGCATGTAAATGCATATTTTGAAGCTTATGGTTAGTTTTCAAGTTTTAGCAAATTTAAAATTTTTAACATAAGGTGCAATATTAATGGTAAATGTTAATACTGTAAAGTGTAATGTGGGTATATATAAATATACAGTACATATTTCTTATTGTACTGAATGTTCAAATCTATAAACTATTTACAATTAAGATTAAATTATATTTTCAGCTTATTTTACATGTTCAAAAAAATGTATGTTTGAATATTTTAATGTTTTAAGAATTTAAAACTCTGCTCTCTAGTAATAACTTAAACGGAATATCTGTATATTAATAAAAAATGATGAATAACATATAAATGCATGAAAAAACATTGCAATATACTTAAAAATATAAATTAGTTATATTACCATATAGTAATAAATTTATAAGTGTTTTAATAGAAAATATATTATAATTTATAATACTATAAGTTTATTATATTTTAATTTATTAAATTTATATATTCTTATTTATATAAGAGAAACTTATTCTCAATTGTGATTTGTGAGTATACAACGACACTGGTTTATTATTGTTACAGTTGGAAATTAGATCACTTGATTATTAGTGATATTAAGCAAACCTGTTTTTCAGAACTTGAAACTCTAACTTTCTTCTTGATTTGTTTTTTATTTTTTGGCTTCTCTACTAAGTCACCATTTGACTTTTCCATTGTAATATTTATTTCTTGAAATAATGTACAACGATATACTTAGATGATTGCGTTCATACTTATTAATTATGTAACTACTTTGATGTAGATGCTCAAAATTTAAAATGTAATAATGTACTGGCAACAATCATTTTTATTTTACTTTGAAAAAAAAAAAGCAAATATAGAAATGATTACATATTTTCTACTTTCTTCAACGCTACGACGAGCATTGCGTTTGCTGACATGTCAATAAGATATAGTGATCGGACAATGGCCAGTATCACGATAAGAACAACAATCTTGTGTATAAAACTAGACGATGATAAGAAACCGTATACAAAGATTTCGACCACGACTAATCGATTTCAGTGGCTGTTAGTAATTGGCAATAAATAATTGCACAATTGATACATAATCTACGAGAAGAATCTATTCTTGTCATTTGAATTTAGTTCCGATTCGATTTTTCGTCATAATTTTGTGAATATTGGCCGTTTAAGATTTAGCTATAAAAGAATATTTCTTCTATTGTCTATGGATTTAACGCTTGATAAATATGAGATAACAGTCTATTAATAGTGATAATAATATTTAAAAAAAAAATAAATATCAAACTTTCGTCTAGGACTTCTAATAATGAATAACGAGAATTTATTCTGTGGACGAGACAAAAACCATTCGAACCATGGTTTTGCTTCTTGATGAAAGAGACGTGTCAAGTGTTTGTCCGTGCGTAGTAGTGAAATAATGGAGAAACGAGTGATATTATTCCCTAAACCGTTGTTGGAAACTAGTGACATCACGGTTGAACTATTAGGATTTGACAAGCTTATAGAGAACGTGAGGTACTACTTTATACTTCCAAATTATTTAGAGAATGTGAACAATGAAGAATGTGAAATGCAGACGATTGGCCACTTTACAAGAACTAATTGTCAGACCTGTGTTGAACACAAAGAGCCAAATGTTTTGTGTATAACTAAAATCAATGGGAATCTAAACGCTAGTTTATTTCCTGGACTGCTTGAAAATGTTGTGCTTGTCATCTACGAACCCTCAAGGTTGTACGACTATGGGACTTTTCTCACGTACGAAGGTGATTCACAATTTATTTGTTTCACAATTCTGGCCAAATGGTTGTGCAGTATTAAAGATGAGCAGGAACACAATCATGTATCAAAAATCATAGTGTTTCAAAGGTTCATCAAGTATTTATTGATCATACTTAATGTACTTATCAACAGTTTTGAAACAGATGTTATGCAGTTGACATTATTAAGACTGATGTTTTTCAAGCATATACTAGGTGTTCTCAAGAACTATCTGTGGATCATAGAGAGTCTTGTACATAATAAACATACTTTGTCGAAAGCAAAAGCAATTAATTATTTAATGTCATGTATTTGTGATGCTCTTTTTGGAATAACCTTTCTGTACTTACTCAATATTACTTTTGTGTCTTCCAATGAACTGTTTTCTTATATTTCAAGTATTTCACATGTAACTAAATCTAACATAAATGTATTGTGTTCATTTTTTAGATGCTTATAATATTTATTTTGATTTACAGGAAGTGATCAAAGTGCTCCAGGGCATATTGCAATGGCTTATGGGAAGTCCAGCTGGTTTAAAACTTAATGACCCTTTGAACAGTTTGCTTGGAACATGTTTTTTATATTTAGTCAACCTTTGGTGGTCATTTTTAGGTAAGTTATTTATATTTTCTTATATATGTTATCTTTACTTTTATAACATTTATTAAAAAATATTTAACAATTTAATCATTTTAAAATAGTATCAAAATATATTTATTATTTATTATTACATATTTATTTAAAAAAACAAAAACATATATTTTTTTAATTGAAATAGTATTTTATTTTAGTTATTTTAAAGTGTTAATTGTTTGTAAAGTTTAATATAACTGTTGAATAAAGAATTTATTATAGAAGTGGCTGTAATTTGTATTATTATAAAATCATAAATAATATTTTATCAGCTATATATAATATCTATACAATAAAAATGCTCTGGTAACTGGAAGGTTTAAAAGTTTTATTATGATTTTAATATGTATAGTTAGTTGTAATTTTAAATGTATAAATATTAAATTGATTTTCATGATAACTGACTGCAATAAGATACTATATGTACAAAATTACTTTTTATTACAGTAATTTGCCGTCCATTTTTAGAATTAACATTCCAAGTTTATGTGTTCATTGGAGTATTTGGATTATCGTACCAAATAGCAATTTTAGAAGATGTATTGATGGTAGTCAGTTTTCATGTTCATTGTATTTACACATATGCAGCATGGTAAGTTATATTTTTTTTGTTTATTTAAATAATAACTCGGTTATATGTTGTGTAGTTTGTGTTGGGCCTAATAGATTAATTTACAATTAAATTATGTAATAGATTACAATTAATTTATTAGATTATATTAATTATTAATCGTTTAATAATTTTATAATTTTATAATCGTTAATCATTATCACCAAAAATATCGCGTGATTACAATCTTGTATAAGGTAATTTACTATGTATTATTAAAATTAGAGATTTACAAAAGGTCAACTTTTTATACATTTTAGAGTTACTGATTATCAGCCGATAGCTACATTTATATTTGTATATTCCTAATACTCTTGTAATAAAAAACAAACATATTATTATAAAAATCTTATAATTTTTACATTATTTATTTTTATACTTATATTGTCATTAAATTATTTTTATTGAGATATCTATCTGAATTAATTTAGTTTATTATTAAAAAATAATATTTTTTTTATTATTAATCTTTTATGACAACGCAAATCAATTAGGTATAACATTTTAAGAATTCTGTTATTGAAAATGCAAAATAATTGCTGATATTTTTATAAAAAAAAAAAAAAAAATGATGAGGTGTAAAACAAAACTTTGTATTTCTTCATGAATCTATTTTATGTAACTTAATTATTATCAATGTATAATTCATCAATCTACTACCGTAAACTAAGCACATTGTTTTGTGGATTTTCAACACAGGTTGTACAATTTACAACGTACGAGTCTTTTAATACTCGCAAAACTTTTCATTGGACGAAGTTGTAATCCACAACCAGGTAGAAGTATGTCGTATACCACGCAACAATTGTACGTCGGAACTATGTCGTTCGCAATATTATTGTTCCTGTTGCCGACCACTTTGATTTATTATATCGTGTTTGTAGTAGTATGTAAAATGACTCATTTAATATAAAATACACATTTTTTAATATCTCCAAGTCACTACTCGACCTTTTTTCTTTTTATAGATGCGAATAATAATTGTCATGACCAGAGGAATATTAATCCGACTTAGATATGTGTTACAAATTCTTCCTGTGTACACAACTTTGATGTGGTTTGTCAAATCGTGCAGTTCCAGCGGTCAGTTATATGACATTTACAGTATTAACGTTTTTATGATTACTAGGGCCCAAATTTACACCATAAAAACATTTGAGAAAAATGTATGAAACCTTAACATTTAAGAATTTAAAACTACATTTGTATGTTGAAACATTTTTACATTGCTTAAGACTTGTGAAAATATGCAGAAATTATTAATATCTTGGGCCTTAACAGCTAGTGAATTTATTAATTCTAATGTTTGTATTGTTCAGGTATAATAAAAATGAACATTGTTAGCAATACAAACTCTAACACTGTCGTGTTGAATATGACTGTTGTGGCTGATTCGTGGTGGGCCACAATTAAGCATTATCTCCCGGATTCAGTAAAACGACCATCAACAGTGTCTTGGCTGGCATTAACAAAACGTATGTGTACTGGAAAAATAATTAATCCCATTTAGATCACACGCGTACATATTTAATTTTCAAATAAAAATTATGAATCATTGCATACAAATTGATCATCAAACAAATTTTTATTGTTCTCGATATTGATAAGAATCAAAGTTAGTATTTGTATTTGATTTCCTTAATTGTCAATATTATGTGCTAAATAAATTGATTCCATTCATTAACATATAACCATTTGTTAGCATATATATATTTTATACATAGTTTAGTCGTTTATTTAATGTATAATTTATAAATATATGCATATAATGACATTAAGTTTTTACAGTTTACATTACAAGAATTCATTTGCAGGATACAATAAAATTAAACAAATCAAAGAAAAGTATTTGATTAGTCTATCACAATATTCTAAAACTACATACATTTTAATAAAAATAATGGAATGTATAAATAATAACAAATTACATGTCCAAAACATTGACATTGAGCTTATAAGTTTAATGTTCATTTCATAACATTTTAATACACATAAATAATAACAAATAACATATACACAACATTGATATTGAGCATATATAGACTATAAAGTAATGTTCATCCTACTAAGTAAGAAAAAGTGGTACAATCAATATCCTATGATGTCGAACATAGTTTACTGATCAAATAATATGTATTTGGGACTACAATAATAAACATAACAATAAAAAAGATCACAATAAAAACATTTTTGAAGTTAAAAATAAAAAAGTAAAAAAAAAAATAATAACAAATAATAATTGAACAAATATAAACCAATCATTGTTGAAGAATTAAGAATACTCTTGCAGTCCAAAAATTAAATTTAAAACTCAATAGATTTTTAAATTTTAATATAAAACAATAATATGATAAAATTCCAATTTTCTTAAATTCATAACCAAAATAAAACGTCTGGAGTGATATAAAATTTATAAAATTTGATAACATGTATTGCGAGTATAATACGATTTTGATCAAGATTACTTGATCTAAAAAATGATTTGCTAAAACTATGTAATATTTTAGTTCTTAAACATAATATTTAGATCGTCTCATGTTTCTAATAGTATAAATTTAAAAAAAAAGAAAAGAAAAATAGACAAATTAACAATATTTAACAATTGAAAATAAAATATGCAACATACTGTAGTACACTTGCAGCATTAGAATCACTTAAAATCAATCAAAATAGTTCTTATAATAGTGTAAAGAATATACGCTATGTTGTCAAAACACATTTAATTTAACATTTTAAAATACAATTTAATAAAAGAATATTTTTTAAAGAAATGTTAAAAACTTTTTGAAATAAATAAATACATTTACCTACATTGAAATCAGTCAACATTTAACAAATATGACTGGTTATAATTCACAACAGTATAATTTAGGGCTATAAATTCTAATATCAAGAGACGCTTACACTTAATAAAACTAATGGCTAATATTAATTATTTGCATTCACAAAAGTAGCACAGCCATGAGAAGATTAAAAATAACATAAAGATTAATAACATTATTCATTACAAGGTAAATAGTCTTCAACTAGTTGATGACAAATGTTATTGTATTCGGTAAAATCCCCAGAGAGTCGTTGAATTTTTAAATATGAGTTAGCCCCAGTATTGCTTGGACACACTTCTAGCCCAATCTTTAAGCCAGTTGAAAATTGTAAAACATTCTGTCTGTCTACTACTGGCCATGCCTGAATATTGGATGATATTAAGTATTTGACAATGTTGAGTATATTAACTGATGTGAAATTTGAATAAAATTCTGACAAATCAACAACAAATGCATCGCTAGCTGTTCTTTTAAGAATATAATCAGAAAAAAGTGGAGCGGTTTTTAAACATGTTGAAGATTCTATATCTGTAATTATTTCATTTCTACCAGCAGTTAAATCATTATTCACCTTATCATAATCATTGTGTATTGCTGATAATGGTTGATCATTATATGTTTTATTCAGAAAATTATTAATAACAGTGTCCACAGAATCAACAGAATTCATTTGTAATGGATCTACTTCCATCATACCACCATCTTCATTAGTTATCATTAATGATATTTCTGGATTCGGAAGGATTTTCTCTTCACAATTTTCTGAAAAAAATAAAATAAAACCCCCTTATAAAATTAATCTTTACTTTGAAAATAAAACTATGTATTTAGTTATAAATATTTCTTAATATAAAAATAATTATACAATTACAAATTTATTTTTAAACAAAATAATAGCTTTGATCTTTATATTAAGATTATGATGTACAAGTTATTTTTATTTTGGTCACTGTTAAATTTATTTTTGAACAATTAAAATACTACATAATCCAATAGAAAATGTATACCTACATTACAATTACATCATAAAAATAGATGAGTGTTAATTTAAAATAAATTTTTTGTTATTAAAATATTAGTAGTTCGTCGAACAATTTAATATTTATAATCTAGGCAACACTTACCTAATGATTTAGTTTCAACCACAATAGTTGGCGGAGGATTTACTTTACTGTTTGTTCGTAGATCCAATGGAGCAGGAATTTGATTAGATAATGTATATTTTGGAGTACCTTGAGTTATTGAACCTATATAATACAAAAAAAATGTTGTAAAGAAATTTATACAAGAAAATGAATAATTTAATTAATTTAGACTTTTATTTTATATTATTAAAATAATCGAGTCAAATCAAATTCTACGTGAAACAAGGATTATATATATATTTTTTTTTGTACTCAAATTCGAACGGTAGTATTGCTCTTGATCATCACAAACGTAGGATGGTTTTGATAGAAAATGATATTTAGTAGGTACTTGGGATGGAGATATTTTTTAAATTACTAAAATTTTTTTAGAAATATATGAGAAAAACGGAGAATAAATGATGAAAAAAAATTCAAACAAGATCCAATTTCGAACTTATGACCACCTAGTATTTAGACACGCACCATTCCATTTTATAGGAATTTCATAATTTTCAAAATATTCTAATGAAATTCGAGCTAATTATAAATACTTACAATTTTCAATTAAAAATTAAACCTACTAAATTTGGTTTTACTACTACATTAAACATATATAGAAATGTAAACTGATCCATCTTCACTAAGAATTGCTAATCATTATTTTTTTTTTTTTAGAGCAATGGTGCATTAGTTTCAAGTTTAAAAGACTAATACAGGTACATCGTATCATTCAACAGTCATAGTATCTAGTCATTTTTTTTATCATAGACATACAAATTATTTATTTTAAAACAGTTAAAAAATATTATTAAACCAATAAATAAAGTATTTTATTAAGATAAAAAAATAAAATAATAATTTATTTATAATTTTTCAATAAAAATGGACATTAATACATGAATATGAAATGGAATATGAATTATTACAATTTTAAATAATATTAAACAAAAATAATGCTTACCTTGAGTTTGTGGAGCATTCATTAAAGGAGAATGGTGTAAATTTAAATTTTGCAAATGTTGACTAAGAATATTTGAATTACCTGAAAGATAAAATTTTTCGATAAATAATGAAACAAATAATTAAAATAGCATCATTGTTGTAGCTATATCTAAGATTCTAAATGCAAAATCACAGGTTCAAACCAGACGATCAGTGATTTCGCTTTACAGACGAAATTACTGCATAGAAGAAACTGGCAAACTACCACCACCTTTTAATTCACTGAACCCAATTTATTAAATCAAACAATCCAAACGCCTAACTTACCAAAAACCCACATAGGGAGCTAATGGCCTCTGATAAAAATAAAAGAGCAATAAAAAAACTAATAATAATAATAATTTAAAATAAATAATCAATTAATTCAATACCCTGATGATTTGTGGTAGGATTTAAAAATGAAGGTCGATCTGATAACATTTGTAAACTTTGCATATGATATGTATGAAACATTTGTAATTCATCATGACCCCAAGTATCCAATGTATTTTCACTCAATTTTTGCTGTTAAAAAAAATTAATATTTAAATATGGATTTTTTTGTTATATTATACTCAGAAGTTACAATTACTTGTAATTGAATGTGTTCTTGTTGTATATTCCGTATATTAGGTTGATCTAGATGTTCACTAGATGTAACAACTGGTTCACTTGTTCTTCGGACGGGACTATATCGTTCTGATGGCAAATAACCACTGACATCTTTTAAACTTTCTCGGCCTGATTAAAAAATAGTGGTACCAAAATTTAAAAAACAATTATGAATAAAAAATAAAATTACATTATATCCATAGATGAAATTCCTCATTGTTAAAATATTTAAGATACCTGAATGTCTATGGAGTTCTTGAACTGTAGGCAAGACTGAAACCTGTGATAAGCGGTGATTATGTCTAGGAGTGCTGACCAATGGTAATGGTGGTGGTATATACTCTCGGTTCATACGTGCTTCTACTTCACGTACCACTTCAGGACTAATGACTTTAAATCAAAATAATAAGCCATGCAAACAAACCACTCATTTAGGAAAATAATATGTGTTAACTATTTAATAAAAACTAATAAATAAAACTGACATTAAAGCTAAAATCTAAAACTAATACTCTGAATAATAATATTACACAAATAATAAAATTAATTAAAAATACATGCTTGAAATTAGAACTATACTGTGTCATACTTAAATATGAAAATAGACAACACATAGTATACAAGATAGCACTAACTACAAATAGAACAAAAATTAGTAATTCAGTTATTGCTTAGTAACATAATAACACATTTATCAGATAACACATTAAAATAATGGTTCATTCAAGTATATATAATATATATTTATTATTCTTTGCATATTAATTGTAAAATAAATTTATTGAAGTGTTTAGATATAATATAATAAATAATAATTATTATTAGTTTTAGTGCTATTTTTACAAATTATAATTCATTTTAAGAATATTGAAACTAATATATACAAAATAGCATTACATTTATTAAGTTCACAATATATTTTTGTAGAAAAGATTAGACAGTTAAATATGAATAAAATTAAACTAAAACTATTATCAGCAAGTAAAATATACTGTAAAAGATAACTTACATTATTTCCAAGTTCTTTTATGAAACATTATTTTTTTAAAACTTACAAAATTGAATTATTTATAAATAGTAACAATTAAAAAATATATATAATATTGTGAATGATGAAACCATTAATTCAAAAAATGTTATTAATGTTAAAAATAATACAAAATATGTTTTATAAAAACTAGAGTAACTAATAAGTATTTCGTGTTTAATTTAGTGATTACAGTTTTATATGTGTAGAATAAAACTGTAACAACAATAAAATAGTTTATATTTTTTATAATTACTATATAATTATTTATTATTATTTTTTTTAATAATTATTTTTAGTGCAGCAATAAAACAATGAATTATTTTAAAATAGTTTAATACTTACAGAGGGAGCAATAATATTTAGAGTAATAAAATAAACAACAAAAAACTCAAAATCAATTATTGTCTATGAAAAACTCATATTTTAAAAATAACTACTTTATCAAATACCATACCTGGAGGTCTATCCATTACAGTTAAAACACCACTGCGTCTAGTTCTAGTATTTTGTAGATTAGTTTGTTGGGTTTGAATTTCATCCTTACTACCTATTCCATGTCTAGAGGTACTGCATATTACTTTTGGATAACGACTAAATGTTTGTATTGAAATAAGTTAAATGTAATAAATAATAAAAGTCACAATATTTTTAAAATAAATATCAAGTACAAATTTACTAATTACCTAGATGATCCGGCCGAAGTAGTATTTTCTTCAGACAATAAGTTTCCTTTACTCGATTGATCAATTATTGCATTTCTTAAATCATTTGGATCTATTTTTGTTTGCTATTAATAACAAAATATGGTTTTCTCAATTAATTATAATTATAACATTATAAAAGTAATAAAATAATTACTTTTTTTAAATCTTCTTTGCTACTAGGTTCACTATATGTACAATTCATCTTTTGAGACATTTGTAAATTAGCACCACCGTCTGAAGCACGTCTACCAAAATTGTTATCTTTAAAATAATAAAAACTGTTAATAAAAATCACAAAATGAGTTGTTTAAAATCTTATATTACTTGCTCCCATGACTTGAGGGGGTTTCAATAAATGTTGATCTTTTATTGTAAAATTCTTGGGAGATTGACATTCAACTAATGGAATATTTAAAGGTAAATTTGTATTTGGCAATACATTTGCATTACATCCCGTATGAAGATGTGTAATATAATGTGATTCCATAACCTAAAATTATTATATATAATTATACAAAATAGGACAATTCAGATGTATTAAGTTCTAAAAAATATAATTAGTTGTTACTTGAGTCATTAAACCATTTCCCGGACCAACTGTATGGCGTCGAGTAGTTACTGGGTGGTTATCTTGAATCTTGTTTAAACCAGCAGATTCTCCAATGTCAACATCTCCATACTAAAAACAAGCATTAATCATTCATATCTTAAGAATATTGAAAAGTTAAGTTGTAAAATTAAATAATATACTTTTTCTAACTGCTGACTATCATAAATTGAACAATCTTGAGTGTAAAGTGACATAGAATATAATGGTAAGTTTTCAATTATATTTGAATTTATGTTAACAGATCCATCTATTTCTATAAACATAATATTGATGTTTACTTATATAATTAAGTGCATTTGAATGTATAGAAATTTACTGGTTTCATTGACAAACGATTGATTGGAATTGTTGCATTGATGGACAGATGATTCAAGTTTATCAACAAGCAAATGATAAATTGCACTGACATGATCATATTTTTGTTGTTGTACGGACTAAAAAACAAAAACGTTTTTTTACTTAAGTACATTCAATTTACATATAAATTACTCCACATTTTTAAAAAAAAGTTATTTTCTGAAATAATTTTGGTTTAACTAAAAATAACCTTAAAAAATATTTTTATAATAAAACTACAAAATGTTTAAACTATAAACTATATAATAATAAAATAATCACTAAATTAATATGAGATAAATCAAGATAGTTAAATACTATCTGATTTTAATCTAAATTTAGTTAGTATCTATTTTGTTACTTTTTTTTTACTTATTTTTTTGACTATTTGAGAAATACTAAAAACAGTATTGTTATTATGATGAAAATATAAAACAATTAATTTTTAAATAATAAAATATTTTCACAGTAAATATTGTATTATACAGCAGAATCATGATACAACTGCTGATTGGGGATAATTAATAGTCATATTTATTATTTACTTTATTTACTATGTTTTTGTATTAAATAATTAAATATAAGGAATAAAAATAAGAAACCAAATTTAAAAATAAATAATTAAATAACTTAAATAGTAGAGCTATAAAATAGTCAATTATAATGATTATATATTATTTGCGTTTAGAAACTACTATAGTACAAAATGTAAGTATCATAATATTTAATAATAAATCAACAACTTTTAATTATTTAATACTGTAAAAATGTTATATACAACTTTGATTCATAAAAAATGAAAGATTTGAAATTATATCATAAACGAATAACACTAGAAAAACTAAGTTTGCATTATGAATAAAATACTTATATTTATTTTTAAGATATAATTATTAATGAACAGTATTCATGATATTTTATTAAATATAATTTTTAATTTTTTTAATTTTCCGAGACTTCCGGAAAAATGATTTTATCAGTTCCTCTTCCCCAACTATTCCTAAAAATAAGACTTACATTGACTATCATATCTTTGTCTAAACCAGGTAACTGTAACATAAGTTCTATAACAGCAGTATTCATCATTGGGTTTATATCAACAGTTAATCGTTTAGGAGTTGGCTCTGAAAACTAAAAATATAAAATAATATTTATGCTATATTTCAACATATCAATAATATAAAACATTTAATGTTACTTGTTTTATCCATTTATGAGACTCAATTTGATTCAGACTTAGTCTCTTTTCAGGTTCAATAACTAACATATGTCGAATTAAATGTTCGCATGCTGAAATAAACCATATAAAAAATGAATTACAAAATTAAATTACACAGTTATAATATAAAAATATAAGATTATTATTATAGCAAAGACAGGAAATCTATAATAGTTATAATAGTTAAGATATATAACATTGTATTACAATATAATTGAAATGTAAAATGAAATATGAAAAACGTTATTAATAGGGCCAGGAACTTGATGTATTTGCATCTTTTTTTCTAATGCTTACTTACACTCGAAGCTCGTCTGTACAGAAATTTGATTTATAAAATATAGAATTTAATGGCACAATTTTTATTTTGTATTTTTTTGCATTTTTAGGTAATTTTATGCTTTACAGCCATTTTTCAATATTTTTGGTACATTTCATTCATTTTGTAATTTTCTTTTTACATTTATTTGCATTTTTCTTGTTGAAAGATACTACTTGTAACACATTTAGTTTCCATTTTCGACGTTCTTTATCTTTATCATTTGTTGTTGTGATCTACGATTATTTAATAAACTGTAGGCAGATACTATTTTAGGCCCAATGCACAAGACGTGTGTTATTTAGAAGTGCCATCTCCCCTACATTATCGTAATTATTTAAATAATTTTACTGATTCGTACGAGGCGTACGATAACGCAACGGTGTGATTGACGTTTCACAGCATTGTGGCATTTTGAATGTGAAAAACTGACATATTTATTTTAATATATCGACTGTTGTGACCGATTCTTTGATTTATATATCTAATATATTAAATTTAATTAATTTATTGTTTATAAATGCCTAGATACAAGGTTTCGGATAATATTCGATTGAATTCGTTTGTAAATCGTTTTTGCAAAGAAGTTTTTTCAATCAATAGCATAATATTAGTTTACAAATTTGTGAGGTAAAAGTGGCGGCTGACAAAAAATTTATCGTCGAACAGCATATTTCGCATAATAAACACGTTAATGGAGTTGAACTGAAAAAGATACAACAAAAACAAAGTACAAGTAAGTTTCAACGTTTAATTACCGAACTATCTAAGGCGTCGTCTTTTAATCATGATCTGTGTTATGCATTATTATCCGCTAATATCCAATGGAAAAAATTACAGAACGAGGCATTTAACATTTTTTTTGGAGAATTATACGAATAAAATAATTCCCGATGAATCTACTTTGAAAAATGGATGTTTTTCAATATTACATAGACACTATTGAGAAATTAAATTTTACGTAGAAAATAAGAAAATTTGGGTGTATATGTAAATATGAAACTACGGACATTGAGAAATGTTATACTGGGTTCACACTATTACAATTTCTTGTATGATTTTTCTCGCATGCTTATTTTTACTTGTGCAATAACTAAATTGAACAAATGTAAACGTTGATAATACGCATGCAAGTTCTTACATGCTCAAACTTGCATGCAGTCCAATATGTCGGACAGAATTTGAATGCAATTAGGTAATTGTATGCCAATTTATTCCCGAACACGTGATCAATGTGATTGTGTTTTATGAATTTTGTTTATTTTTTTTAATAATTTTGTTTTTTAAACAATGAAATAGCCTCCAAATCAAATTATAGTTTGAACAAAGAAGAAATTGTGTCAATATTAATTTCGAAAATTGATTATCGCGTCTTCAGTAGCGTAGCCAATGGTAGAAGGGCGCTGTGGGGGGTTGCAGCCTCCCCGAAATGTTAAGAAAATTATATTATTGGTCTATAAAAATAGCTAAAAAAGAAAAAAATATTTAAAATTTTTAGTATTAACACTTTACAGCCATCTATTTGTGATAGTAGGTATTTAAAGCATACAAAATTGTGCATCGGTCGCGAATCGCAAATTCAACTTCAAAGTCAAGACTTGTCGGACTCACATTATCTATTCATACAGACATTGAAATTTCAGGTAATCGAATATTTAATATATTTGTTAACAGCGGAAAGGGTTAAGTGTTAAAATTGTTAATTAAATTTTTTGTCGTTAAATAATAAAATTAATTAAATATTTAATAATTAATAATTACGATTTATGGTTATGAATTTTATAAAACGTAAATTTTTAAAAATGTTAAGTCATTGATTATTATAAAATAATTTTTTAAGTAATTTTTTATTGTTTACTAGTTATTTTATTAACATTTTTGTTTTGTGCATTTTTTAAAGATTTTTAGGTCATCAAGTTCCGGGCCCTAGTCATAAAATACAACTAAAATATTAAACAAATTGTTTAATTAAATTATATTAAAAACTCAAATTAATTAGGATTTCTTACATTTATTTAAACTCCAGGTCTATGTATTATTTTCATATTTACAGACTCAAAAGCAATATAAATATTTTAGTCTTATAAGTAATTTATAATCCTTTTTGTTATTTATAAAGTTGTAATTATTCAATGATTGAAGCTAGGATGCTCAATTAATAGACATATTGAATGGTATATAAGAGAAATATTACAGTAATTTGTAATTGAGAAAGATACAAGTATCCTAAGTTGATATTTGCTAGAAGGGTAGGCAAATCAACCTTACAAAATATAAGTTGGTGAAGAAATAATCATAATGCTATTTAATATACCAATAGTCTCATTTGTATAAAATCTACTATTAAGTATATTTAATAAAAAAAACCAATAATAATTTAAACAAATAAATATTAAGTCTCAGTGGTAACAACAGATATTTTAATATTTCAATAAATATTAAGTATGCATATTATTATAGTGTTAGGTATCACTAAAAGCAGTTACAATAATTATTATATTATATACCAGCGGACATGAAATATGGCACACGAAACATTCCAGAAAGGATATTAGCACGGAGAACCTTTAAAGTGTGTCCATCAAATGGAAGAGAACCACACACCAATACATACAATACCACACCTAAACTCTGCAAACAAATAATTTTACCAGTTAAAATGACATAAATAATTAAAAAAAAATTTAATTAACTTTAACTAGATAGTTATAGTTTTTTTTTTAATAATGTTTCAATTGAGATGAAAACTTTTATTTTGAAAATATGAATACATTTTTACTGTAAAAATAATCAACACAAAATTATTACCCAAATATCAGCTTTTGGTCCATCATACTCTAGTCCTTGAAATAATTCTGGAGCTGCATATGGAGGGGAACCACACCAAGTAGAAAGTAGTTTTCCTTCATAGAAATGATTGCTGAATCCAAAATCTTAAAATTATATTATTATAATAAATGAATATAATTTTACAGCTCATAAAAGTTCATAGTTTTTAAATGTACTTAAATATTTACTAAATAAAAATGGTACCGGCAAGTTTAATATTGTTGTTAGCATCTAAAAGCAAATTTTCTGCTTTTAAGTCTCTATGAACAATATTGTTGTTATGACAATAGCTAACGGCTTCAACAATTTGTTTAAAAATATGACAAGCGGCTGGTTCATCCATTCTTCCATTTTTTACCAAAAAGTCTAAATTTAATTTAAAATATATCATGATCAATACGCAGGTAAATTTAAGTAATTATTATCAATCAAAGTTATAGACTAGAATAAAAGAGGTTTCATTTGGGATGAGTTTGGTATATGGACGAGTAGGATAATGAGAAAACAAATATCAAAATACAACAATCATTCATTATATAAATATAAATCAGCATATACTTCAAATTTGTTTTTTTTTTAAAAAAAGATTATATGCATTCATAAAAAATTATATTATATGTTATATGCTGTATATTTTAGTATAGTATAGTAATTTAACAAGTATTTATAACAATTTGAGTCATTCATTTGATTTGATTTTTTATGAAGATTAAGTACAAAATAAATAATAATTTAATAAATATGGTGTCAAAATTTGTCAAGACACATTGGCGTTTTGATAAATATATTATTTTTTGTCATACCGTCATACAATTTCACCAAAAAAAAACTACTCATCCCTGTTTCATGCATAACAGTTTTACTTCAAAAAGTTTTAAAATCTTAAATTAATGTATTTAGTCATAATAATAATAATGTATTAAGTCATAACTTAATAATAACTATATTATAAAAATATGTAAATTACCAAAAAGTTCACCTCCAGCAGCATATTCAGTAACTAAATATATCATTTTTTCGGATTCCATAACCTGCAAATTAAATTAATAAAAATAAGAAACATAAAAATCCATGATACAAACTAGTTAAATACATTTAAATCATTTTACATGCTTAAATAAGTTTTGGGTTATGAATTATAAATAAAACACAACAAACAATTAAAATAATTATTTATAGTTAAAACATGCATAGATTAATTGATCAATGATAGATTAATAAATAAAAAACATAATATAAAAATAAAAATATGTACAAACTGATAAAGTTTCATATTATTATAAAAAAAAAACCGGCTGAGAATATATTTACAAATATTTTCACAGTAGAATTTTTTTTTATCAACTATACCAATTTATTTGAAAGTTAAAAATACTTTAAATTGACCAAAAAGTATCTTTTAGTAAAAAAAAAAAAAGTTATAACTTAGATAACGCGATTATTTTTTTTACAATTAGCAAACTGATAAAGTTTAAAAGATTATACTCCTTATAAAGTAACAAGTAACATACAGATTTCCAGGAAAAATACTTCGTAATCACAACTTTTTGTTTTTAATTTCAATTTAGTGCTTTATTTTAATAATTTAAATAATCCTTGATTATACAAATGTCTGTTCTTTATTTTATAAAAATTTATGGTTTACTAATACAATTTCAATAATAATAAAAATTTTTAATTATTTAGTAGACTTTTGAAAATTACAAAATATTAATATTATGTTTTGGTAAATGAATACCTGATGTATAGTGTTATATTGCATAGTTACTGTGAACATTTTAATGATAGCAAAATATTTTTAAAACTTAAATTTTATAAATTGTTATAAACAATTGTTGATTTCAATAAAGAATTTAAATCTAAAAATATTTAAAAATTTCATGAAAATTGGATCTATTTGGATAGCATAATATACATATTTTAATAATTATTTTAATTTTTATGTAATTAATTACATTTTATTCTAAAGTTTATACTCATTAGTAAAAGTTAAATTAAATTGATTAAGAAACCATAAGGTACTAAAACTAATGTAGACATTTTAATTAACTTTAGAATGATAAATTAATCTATCTGTCCTTAATATTAGTTTTCAAAAATTATTGGTACAATGATTTGAAATGCATTAGAAAAATTCTTCATCATTCATTTTGTTATTTAATTTATCTTATCTATACCTATGTTTAGCAAAACATAAACAAATAAAGAAAATTCTTCAACTAAAACTAAATAAATGATATTACATCACAGTCTACATTTTTACTCAGCAATATATTTAATATACTCACATATATTAAATATATACCATCTGTATTATAAGATATTCATTGGTTGCTTTATATAATTTAGTAACTATTAGATTTATTATTACTAAAATTCATTGATGACAATAGTAAAAATTATCTCAGATAACATTAGATGTGCAAAAAATAAATTTAAAATAACCATAAAATAAAATATTAATTTTATTTTCCTATTTTTCTTTGTTGTAAGTATTTAAAAAAATACATGAAACTTTCAGTTGTTTCAAATGATTTGTATATACTTATTAAGGCAGTTTAATAAATTTATAATAAATATATACTATAACCTTACTATTAATGAATTTACAACCTAAGTAGCCACTTTCATATTAAAAATGTTGAAAAATTATTCTATTTTAAATAAAGTCATAATTTATGTGTACCTGATATAATCTTACTACATGAGGATGATTAAGTTTTGACATAATTTGAATTTCTCTAAATGTTTTTTTCAAATCATCCTTTTTTAATTGTGTTTTGTCAATGATTTTAATGGCAACCTGTAACGAAAAATAAAAATTATTATGAAAAAACAAAGTTAAAACCTCAATTAAGACCAACGTTGATATAAATAAATATTTTGTTATGATCAGTTGTATATAAATAGATGTATTAAAGATAGTGCTAAAGAAGTTAAAGATATACTATACTTTTTTTTTTTTTATATTACTACTTTTTGAATTTGAATTCCACAAATAAATATTATTGAATTAAATAATATAAATATATTATAAAATGTAATATAATATAATTATAACATATGTACTATATTTAATTTCAATTAATCATACTTAATGGTATTTATCATGATAGCATATTAATATTTATTGTCCATTAGGTAAGTAAATTTATTTATTATATTAATATTTATAAATATTGAGGGTATCGAGGAATAAAATAGACTGTTGTGCAATTCTAGTGTAAAAATACAATAGTAGACTTCTCTTAAAATATAACAACTATAACTATTATTAAAATTGTAATTTTTTCAAAAAACCTAACCTAACCATTTTACTTAAAGGGTGTCCAAGATGTTTTTTAAATTTTATACAGTAGATAATTAAAATGAAAAAATGTAATATAGTTATTTGATGATATTCTAAATTAACCTTCAAACTAAATTTATTAAATTTAAACCATAATTATTTGTATAACTAGATGTCTAGATAATTAAAATAACATATAATAAGTAACATTAAAATAAACATAATCTATTTACCACATAGTGATCAAAGTAGTGGAATGGAAAGTGGGGTATGGCTACTCTGTTTATATTATCTATATTACATTCTCTTTAAAATTATACAATTATATAACACAAAGGTAATAGATTTATACAAGTGATTTTTTAAAAAATTTGTATTATTTATTATTTATATTTTTATGATTTATTAGTATTAAAATATAATGTTACGGTAATACATGGCTGTTAAAATAAGATTTCACCAATTAACTTTGGTTAAAATTCAAAATTTGAATTTTTACCATTTGATCCAGTTAAATTCTAGGATATACAAAATTTTACAGTATATATATTCAGAATTATTAATGTATTTTGGCTTTTATAAATGAGACATTGGAAATCTTAGGATATAAATCCATTTTTGGTCAAAACCTAATAAATAAAAAATAAATAAAACTAATAAAATTCATTATTAGGATTTGAAAATACAATTTTTATTGAATCATGTTCATTTAGAAAAAAGTAATATTTATTTACTTTTAACTACTATTCTTAATAATAATTATTATTATTCATTACACAGAAAATATTATTCTTTATTAAGTATATGTTTATAATATTAATAATTTATTGTTAATTTTTATAAAGTAATAGTGTCTTAATAATAAATTTAGAAATTATTATTTAAAATGTATGTCATTATAATAGCGCAAGTAATAATGTAATTTTAGTCTTCAACCTACTTTTGTCTGTTAGAACCTATTTATTAGATTTAAGTAATCTTTAAAATATGTACTATGAAAAAAGATATAAATATTTAACTAAAATCAAGACTAAAATCCATCTCCTTTGTGTGTATAAAGCCATAATAAATCGTAAAAAATGTAGGCACCTCTTCACTTATTTTGAGCTTCTTCAACTATATATTTAAATATAATATAATAATAATAATATTATATAAATATATATATATATATATATATATAATATTTCAAATATATTAACTCTTAGTAATTATTTAAATTAATTGCTTTAATTGATTTTTAAATAATTTTATCCACTTTTTTAATTTCATTTAAAAATTAAAATGATTTCTTTAATGTTGGTTTACAATAATAAAACATTTTAAACAGAAAACTTTATTTTTTAAATACAATTTTAAAACTAAATTGAAAATGGTTGGTAATACAATGTTTGTACCACCTAAAATATTGATATAATAGAGAGTATTAACTTTTTAAGAGTTAAAATTAATTTCTACTGAACAATGTATAGTTTAAAATTTTTAAATTAGTAATGGAGTCTTAATAATCTACTTAATTTATATATTATATAATGAATAAGGTTTTCAAAAATAAAATAACAAATTAAAATTTCTACATAATCATTAAAATGTAATTGTATTCAATATTTTAAAATATTTTGAATATTGATTGAATTACTTCGAATTGAGTCTTATAAGTCGTATGTAACATAATATAGAATTACAAATACTTATTCCATCAAAATAATTGTTAGCATTTATATTAATAATAAATAAATACATGATGAACTTAAATGGATAATAGTAACTAAAAATTTAATATGTAAATAAATAAAAATTTAGCCTGAAGTATTATTATTTTTGTAAAGTATAGCTGGTTTTGAATTAAAAATTAATCGTCAGGTTAGCATTTTTTCATTTATTTTTATATATAATCTATTTATTTATTTATTTATTTATAAATTAATTTACAAGTTTAACCTAACCATTTACTAATTTATAATTTTTATTTATTTTTTTTATTATTTTATTATTTAAAAATCAAATATTTGACTTTTAAAAAAATTATACTTTGAAAGTTACATTATAAAATTCCTAAGTCATTCAAACATAATAAACCAAATTTTTAGAACTTTAAAATAAAACAACTAAATTAACTATAATTAAAATTTTTAATTCTCTTAATTGATTTATTGATTTATTTTATAAATAATTTATTATTAATTAACAATAACTAACTTATTAAAGTAGATCATCGACCAAACAAGTTAAATATTTGCTATACAATATTGCTATATTTTTAGGTACATAATAGAGCAGGGGTCTTCAACCCCCGGCCCGCAGGCCGCTTGCATCCCGCCCTGTCATAATATGCGGCCCACGATCACATTTTAAATTTAGCATTTACATTTTCTAGTTCAATAAAATTATAACAGTTAAGCTATTGCTATCAGAAATATGTGATAGTATAAATTAAATTACCTACCAATATATAATTATAATTGTCTGTTGGTTCGTAATCAATTGTGGAACGAGTACAATATTCTCCTTTATGTGTAAAAATTTCAATTTCATACTTTTTCTTCGTAATATTTGTACAATATGTCGGAGAGTAAAAAACGTAAAATCTCGGATGAAAAACGCGTTTTTCAAGAAAAATGGTCCAATAGAAATTTTTTTAAATTATTAATTTTACTAATTTGTAATTTTAAATGCACCTACCTAATTTTAAAAATTGTAAGAATAAAACTGAATTTTTATATATAATACATGTTTTTACAACGAATGCGGCCCGCAAGATTTAAAAAAAATAATATGTGGCCCGCTGCATAAACAGGTTGAAGACCCCTGTAATAGAGCTTTACATGAGTCGGGCTAGCCCAATCCAGAGCTGTGCTGTTATACCATAAGAGGCCTAGCATAGGTCCGCACTTATGAGTAGTCTGGACCAGGCTGGACTTATGAGATCATATATGAATTATGAATCAGAAGTAAATGTAAATAAATATTTGTAATTCATATGGTAATTTATAATAGAAAAAAATAAATATTAAAAAAACAATACATTTTAATTCAAAATAGCATTAAATATATTAAATTAAAAACTAAAAATTTTAATTTAAAAAAATGTATCTTTTTATTACGTAATAAATATTAAACATATCAAATTTTAGGAGAAGACAAGGTTATGTTAGGCTGAATTAATTTTTCATTAAGATGAACCTAGCTGGGCGGATTACATATATACAAAGAAAATATTGGATATGCTTGGGCTTTAAAAATTAGACTCAATCAAAGTTTTAGTACATAATAGTGTTTTTATAACAAGACTTGAACAATTTTTTTTATTAATTTATGCAAGAAGCCAACTGTGCATTATGCATAATAATTTTAAATGTATATGAAGAGATAATGTTATGAAAAATAGTTATTAGGTACCAAATAAAATTGTTCCTAATCATTTAATTAAACTTTTATTTTATCTAATACTTAAAATGGAATGAAAAGGTCAGCATCTTCTCGATTATTTTTCATTATCATGATGAAACTCTAAATGTTATACTAAGTACTAGTAAATATTAATGAATTATATCTATAAATATTTTGTAGCAATATATATTATTATCTATCAAACATAATTGGATATTACAGTAAACATACATTAAATTGATTACCATATAATATGCTTAAGAACTTCTATAATGTTTTATTTATTTTAAGTTTAAGACGACATTAAATTATAATTAGTCAGTCTTAAACAAGGTTTTAAAGTATTTAAGAAAAAATATATATATATAAACTAATGTTGAATTTGATTACATACAAATTTTTAAATAATATAAATTACATAAATCATATTAATGTTATTTTTATTGATGTTAGGTAAATGTTTTTAATTCAAAATAAGACAATAGAATAAATTATTCTAAATTGATTTGTAGTAAAGTGATCCACCAAAACTATTTAGTGGTTTTATCTGTATTCATTTTTAAAATTTAAGTTTATTAATGAATCAATCAATAAGAATCATAAGAAAACTTATGAAATATATAATAAATTGCAAATTTACATTCAAAAATAAATAAGCATACAATAATCAAGGTAATTTAATTACCATAAGTGTAAACCCAGTTTAAGTTGCTACATTTAAGTTTTAAGTTAAAGTTGAATATTTGGAATAACTACAACTTAAAAAATGAACAAAGTATGGTTATTTTTTTAAATTTTCAAAAAATGAAATTTATAAGAAAAAATGATCAATAAAAATAAAATTGAAGTACCTAATTTAAAATATCACATGAAAAATATATGAATTATTAATTTTGATTAACAGTTTGATTTAATTTTGATAGATTTATTTTTATTTTATGAATAAAAATTAAAAATGGGAATATGTAATTCAAAAAAATGTAGATACCACAAACAAATACAAAATGAAGGCAGTTAATATAATGTTAAAAAAAATGAATATCTAGCTTAGTTTATAAGCTTTTTAAAATTATTGTTTAAATGATCTACAATTTATTAAATACGACATGCAAAATTATAAAACATTTTTTATTATAAGACAATTATAAAACAATTGGAATATTTAAGTTTCAGAAAATGTTTTAAAAACTAAAATGTAGGTAAATGATATTGAATAAAAATTAATAATAAATATAATAATTAATCGGTAAAAAGTGTTTTTACATTTTTCAAGTACAGGAAAATGTTTGACTTAAGCTTATGTCAAATTGTTAAAAGATAGAACTTTGAAAATATAAATTTAATAACATTTGTATTATTATTTTTTTTTTTATTATTGAAATTATAGCACTAGCTGATTTGATAAATATTCTTAATTTATTTAAAAAATTCCAAAAACAAAAATAATTTACTTACACAATACTAAATATTAACCATTATCTGTCAATAACAATAAAATTAAAATTTTTAAAATTTTTTATGAAGAAATAAATATATTTTAAGTAATAAAATAATAAAAAGTAAAATTTAAATTTAAAATTAGTAAATGGTTAATACATGTAAATCAATATACAAATAAATATATTAATAAATACTTAGTCTGGAGTATTATTATGTTTGTAAAGTACAACCAGTTTTGAATTAAAAATTCATAGTCAACTAATTACAAAATCAATAAAATCGAGACTCAACTCAATATTTACAAATCAAATACAATAATATTCCAGGAAGTATTTATTTATATGTTTTTTTCTATATATAAACTTTGTGTTTGTTTATTTATATATTATATTTAAAGACTTTGAATACTTTAAATATTTTTATTTTTATTAAATATTTATATTACAACTATAATAATTAATTATATTATAAATATGTTGAATAAATATATTTACAATCTGTAAATATTTGGTTTCTATAAAACTAAAATATTCAAAAGATAAATCATTTTTTGTTATAAGGAGTTTAGAAATACAATTTATAATTATGTTAATTTTTTTGTAACATATGTAATTTTAGTATACTGCAATTATTATATTTATTATTACATCATAGTTTTCATGCTAGATTGTATATGATTATTAAATTCTTATATTTTCATTACAATTAAAACTACCAACTTGATTTATTTTTTATTTCAATAATAGAATTTGAAATTATAATTTTCAGTGTATAGGCACCATAAAAGTATTTTACATTTTATTTAAATACAAGTATAATAAATACATAATTCAATATTGTTTCAATAGGATAGTATACTTATGGGTTCAAATATACCTAAAATAACTAATATATATGAAATATATTATATGTATATTTTGTTATGATGAATAAATAACTATAGACACATAAATTTAATTATAAATAAAAAATAATACAAAATGTAATTAATTTAAAAAAATACCGGGTACCTAAATGTATGGATATTTTGTAATGTAGAATTCTTAAATGCTTGTTAAAAATGATTTAAAAAGTTGCATTAAATATTTTATTGGATTTAATACATAAATAGGTAGGTACCTTTATTATAATATTATGTTTATAATATTAAAACTAAATCTAATAAGTTTGAAAAATAATTATAATTTGAACAATTCAATTTTTTTATAAACTATGCGGGAATATAATTAGCAAAATTAGATAAAAAAATAAAAACACACCATATTTGTAGGAAAAAATATTATAATAATTCAATTATAATTATTAAACTTAGAGCAATTTATGTATTTTATATCTATCAAACAGGATTGTCTTCTAAATGTGTATTGCCCAAAGCACATCACTTTTAGCATTGGTACAAGATCAGTCTAAGCATTAAGCCCCATTAGCCCTGCTCTAGGGATAGCCTTACACATGAATTTAAGAACAATCCTAATAAATATTTAAGTTACTAAAAATAACATACCTAGAAATTTATTTTCTAAATACTTATTTAATTATCTAAAAGATTTACCATTGATTTTTTTTTAAAAAAAAATTAATTATCAGGCAATGAATATTTACTCATACTTGGAATTAATCAAGCATTATTGTGGTTATATAAACTTTTTTAAAGTAATCATTTTAAAATTCACAGATAGTAAAAGTATTTAAACAAATTTATCAAGAATAATTAAGTAAAAAGTTGTTTTTTTTCATAAATAAAAAAATGATTAAAATTCAATGAACAATACATAATTCCAAAAAAAAAGCATTTTCTTAAAATAATATTAGAAAGCACAATTTTTCTTTTAGTATAATATTCATTAAATTAAAATCAGTCAACATTTAGTCGTATCTCAAATTATAATAAAATTGGACAACTAGATAGCAAAAAAAAAAAAAGTCACATAATTATTTTCTAATTTAAAAATATACAAACATAAGAAATGTTGAAAGAAAATCGATGTAGGTATAAAAGATCAAGCTAGTTAATTTCTAAATGTATGTATCATTTTAACAATTTGTTAAACCGAAGAAGATTCGAATTTAAAAAATCCGAAAAACTTAGGAGAAACACGGATACTGTTACCATTGTTGATGATAGACAGGTAAATAGTGATTTCATCGAGAAAATCGCGTAGGTATTTTATAAAAGTGTGGGTGAACTTGTGGCTCAAAGCGATTAATTTCGTGATACAGCAACGGCCGACAGGTGCGAGAAACGCTGGGAATTCGGGTGGGACGTGGGCCCGACTCTGGACATGGGCTAGTGTCGTAATTTCTAACTTTCGCCGTTCGAACATTTCGAGTGGGCTCGAGGTGGTCTCGGCGAGATAAAGGCTGCGCGCACTTATGATATCGTGACGGCACAACGGGTGTTCGCGATAGGCGTACGATGGGTGTACGGGCGAGAGTAGGTACGCACTACTTGACGCGGTCATCGTCGTCGAGCGCAGATAAGCGCACACCACTCACCTTGGAGTTGGTGACGACGTGCTTGGCCAGCTTGACGACGGCGAAATAGCCCTTGCCGATGGTCTTCTCCATCTCGTAGTATCCAACGCGCACCAGACGGTTGACCAAAGGGACGTGATCGTCCCCGGCTGTCGGAAGTGGCGGCGCGCGAGCCATCGCGTTCGCATAGCTCAGTCGAACGATCGTCGGCCGTAGGCGTTCTCTCCCGTCCTCGAAAAAACCGTTCCGTTATTGTTACAATTGTCGTTACACGTACGTTCGCGTGCGATGGTCGTCCGCCGCTGTTGCTTCACGTCGTCCGCGCGCGTAACGTCTGCCAGCCGACTATCCGCAACTACATGGCCGCGCGACTAAAAAATACAAGCGGCGGGGGCGGCGATAGCAGCAGCGACTAAAAGTGGAGGCGGCGGCGGCGGCAGCGCAATCACGACGATGACGACCACTTACTACGGAGGCGACGACGGTCACGACCGTCACCATACCGGATTCGACCTTTCGGGCGACTGACGGCGGCGCGAGCGCGACACCGTGGTGTAGTCGACGGGCTTTCGTGTGTCGGCTGCGACGGCGGCGGGGTGGAGCACGGGAATCGCTCGGCGCGCTGGCGCTCCTTGGACTTTTGTTTTATACAATCGGTTTTTATCGTTGTTATTACGATTATTACGGTTGTTGTTGTCGTTCACCTTCGTCGGACGGCGGATACGTACATATATGTTTTAACAACATGTTTATAACGCCGTTGAAATCAACGCGGTACGGGATGATCGACGAAACGGTTTGCCGCCTCGGGCTCGTGTTTTTTTTTTTTTTTTTTCTTTCTGTGTTTTTTTTTTTTTTTTTTTTTTTTTTTACACAATTTAACCCGTGATCTTCGGTATTTACTCGAACGTTTTCGTTTTGTGTACGGTAAAAGATCGGGTACGGAGACGGGGGAAATAAAAAACGCACCGGCAGTGTTGTTGTTGTGCCGTGTGCGCAATACTATGCGTGCGCGTACAATGGTGCAGTGTGTACCGTTGTCGCGCTCCGTCGCACTCCGAACGCGCAACAGTCGGGGACGAGATGTTTTTTCTCTCTCTTCCTGTCGACCGCGTCCCCGGGCCAACGCGATCGAGTGGGGAAAAAAAAAAAAAATGCAACCGGACGAAAAACACCGAGAAAACGTAACGAGACGTAGGGAAAAGCACGCCCCCATTACGCAGCGATAAACGATCACCAGTATCGCCGTAATATTACGGGAGGCGAGGTGGTACGACGCGATCGTTTGCAGTATAAAATTGCTGCGTCACTGCTCCGTTCGAAAGATATAATAATAATAATAATAATAATAATAAAAAAAAAAAAAAGGAAAAACAAGTTTTTTACGCCGCCGTCGAGGCTATGACGTAGCAATAGGATTTGGCGACGGCGGCAACAACATAATAACATCGTACGCCGCCGCCGTGTACAACGAATGAACAGGACGTGAAATCGTGTACTGGGGCTGCGGTGCCACGGGTCACGGGTGCGTCGACGGCGGTAGTGAAACGTTGCCGGTGGTGGGGACGGCTGCGGCGGTAACACGGCGGAGGTGGGGTCGGTGAGTCGTTGCCGACGGTGGGGACAACGGCGGCGGTAGCACGGCGGAGGTGGTATCGGCGAGTCGTTGCCGGCGGTGGGGACGACGGCGGCGTCGCGTACGAATATGTTCCGATCATCACCACCGCTCGTAGCGCTCGCACTACCGCCACTGCCGGACACCGCAACAACTACGGGCAACAGCTCGTCTCCCGTCCGGGTCAAGCTTGTAGCTGCTGTTCTACAGATCGTCTCGTCCGACCACCATTTTCCATCTTCCGACCTTTGGCTCTACTCGTTCTCTGACAAATTTGTTTAAACTTTTTGTTAATTTACTCGCTCTTTCGCACTATCAACGTGTACTTGTTGGAAGTAGCTCGTACACGGTTTTGCGTCGTGAGCACATCGACTCCTGTCCGTTTCGCGTCGCCATTGACGAACACCGTCGTTGAATCGACGACCGACGCCATTCGCTTTGTCCTGAAGGTGAGTTCTCCACAAAAGTAACGCTATCGTTACGATTACTGTTAAACAATCGTGTGTTTGTGTTTTCGTCGTCGTTGCGTTGCTGTTGCGTTCCACAACCGCGCCCGAGCGCTTATTGTCTAACGTTTGATTGCCGTTTGTCGCGCGCACTCGTTCGTTCGTACCCACGTCGTGTAGTATTTCTCTCGTTTTCGTTGTTTGTTTTTCCTTTCCCCCGTGATACCTTTTGATCCAGTCATCGATGTTCGGGCGTTGATCGCGTCGCCGATGTTCGGCCGTTGATCCCGTCACCGATGTTCGGACTTACAGTGCAAACCTCGTGTGCCCTCCTAACCTAACTCATCGACCGCCATGTTTTTTCCGTCCGCGCATCGATCCATCCTCGCGTCCATCGGTCGTCAACCATTCTATTTCCAAAACGAATGTTGATTATTGATCGTTGAAATATTTTACATTCTCATATTTTCATCGACTATAGGGAAGAATGGTCGTAGTGATCGATCATCACTGCGATGACGACAACATCTTATGGCTCGACCGAATTTCAGTGAAGAGATTTCGCTAAAGTCCGTTTAGTTTTTGTGTACACTTATTATCATATTTTACTATCTGTAATGAACGGCAGTGGTATAGAAAACATTGTGGTATAAACAAATGGTTAGCAATGGTTATTGATCTGCTACTTTTATAACTCAATACCATAACCTTATATTTTGGTCCGTGACGTGGTTAATGGTAGTATAGTTGCACAACCAATCATAATAAAGTGACTCAGAATTTCTTTGTTATCAACAACCACTTCAACCATAGGTATATTAAACAAATAGATAGCCAACTCGATATTATCATATAAGCAACATAAGTAATTTCGTAAATTTTAAATATTTAACCAAATTTGATACCATACAGTCTTGACTCTAACACATCATGCTGGTTAAATAAGTCCAATAAATATCCATTTATTTTAAAACATTTTTTATGAAGTTTAATAATGCAAATGCTATTCATGTGTACTGTATAAGTGTTAATAATATAATTTGTATTGCTCTTAATAAAAACGGTACAGTTAAATCTCGATAAGACGGAACTTCAGTAAGACGGAAACCCTGGTATCACAGAACATTTTTTTGGTCCTGTTTCAAATTACATAAAATTAACTAACCCCGTCAAGACAGAAACCCCATTAACACAGAAAAATGTCATGGTCCCTAGCGATTCCGTCTTATCGAGGTTTTACTACATTAGACATTTATTTTTAAATATTCACCATTTGCTACATTTTTTACAATTCTAATAGCTCATTTCAAGTATTAAAAAAAAAAAATGTTTGTTAAATTACATTTCTCATTATTTACATCGCTTACACATAGTGTCACACTTAAAATGTTATTTATCAGGATATTTGTAATGTAAATTACTTTTATAGATATATAATATTGGTATTTATTAATTTATTGTTTTAATATTGCATATTTGAAATGTGTGTTATCATTACAACATTTGTAAACATTGCCAACGTTGCATATAGCAACCATGAATCATGTCCTCTTGTAATGTTTTATTAGGAAGTCGACTATCTAGTTGTTTTAAATATCTTTGAGCAGAACCAAGCATTAGTGCTCTATATATTTAAATATTAAATCACAAATTCATGTTATAAAAACACAGAACCACAGATTACAAATTTATATTTTAAAATATTGTATTACATTATAATTATTATATTTTAATAAATAATAAAGATATTTAAATATGTAAGTAATATGTTTTGTTATTTAGTATTTGAATAATTTAGTATTCAAATTTACTTTAAATACTTACTTTAATGCCATAGTTGCCTCAGGAAGAAAAATCATTTTTAATACTGTAATATTATTTGAATACTGACATAAGTCTCAAGCCTTTCTACAAAAAATTAAAAATATTGCCTGTTTGATTATTTAAAAAAGAACTCAACAAATTTCAACATTAAGTATCATTTTCAATTCCATTTTTAAATTTTTTTTAATAATAACCCATACTTTGTGTTTAGGAAAAAATTATGTTTTAGGGGGCATAGGTAAATCGAGTCTCAATCGAATTTATCTTTTTTCAAAATAGGTAAATTGAGTTCTTTTTATAACAGTTAAAGTGGCAAATTGAGTCCTGTCTATAATATTTAATTTATTAAATTAATTTAAATGTATTTAAATTATAAATATAAACGTTGATGTAGTTATAAATTCACCAAGTACGATAGGTAAGTGTATCTTATCGTTACATCGTTAAATATTATTATATTTCGCTTCGTATTATTATGCAACATTTATATAAGTATCTAACTATCTATGACAACGCTGGATGTGATAACTGATAAATGTAAATTTTATGTATGTAGGTATATAATTGTGTTAATATAATTAAAAGTGTGTTAAATAAAAAAAAAACAGCATATCACCATATTTCAAATTACTGCTTTAATTTTTATACAAGGGTGGGTCTCAATTTACCGATTTTATTTTTTTTTTAGGCAGGACTCAGTTTATCCAAAATGAATAAAATGAAATTCAATTTACCAAACCCAGTCTTAGGTTCCATAGCACTAGGTGAAGTTGATAATGTTGAATACAATTTAGGCATGATTCATTACTCAATTTATTTTGATTTAGATGAATTACAATAAAAATAAAATTAGTATAATGACTAAGATTTATTTGCAATAAAAAATTTTATATTACATTTTAAATATTTATACTATAATAATATAGTTTATAAGTCGTACTAAAAAAAGGAAATACTTCTATACTGTTTCACAATATAAGTATTAGATTCCTGCATGGACCAGGCCCATAAATTTTAATCCAGGCCAAACCGGGCTTATAAATTTTTAAATCTATTACTGTCCGGGCCGAGTTTTTTCAGAATGTAAAATACTTGTTTTAACATTCAATTTTAATAATAAAACATTCATTATGGCCGATCCGGGCTTTGAAAAATATCTTTAAGGCTTTAAGCCCATTTCACAGCCGAACATTCATATGAGATATTTCTCAACTTAAAAAGTTCAAACGCGCCGATCGCAAAAAACCCATATGCGCTCTCGTTAGTTCGGCGCGTATAAATTTAAATAATGTTATTTGTTAACGTTGCGGAGGATACGTGCGGTTGTGAAAAGGGCCTTATATGTTAGCAGAAAATTCGGACCGGGTCGGGTCTTATACACTATCGATCACGATCAAGTCACGGTCAGGTCCAGTCAAGTCTCGACCGGTCGATGCACATCCAGACCGCCGCGGTCACGAGCTTTTTGATCGAGACCGCCTAGTGTGAATAATCGACCGCCGCGCTAATCTCTGTCGTATCCAATGTTTTGATTGTTTTTTGAACACTTTTGTACACTTCGTGGCAACGTGCAGATAGAACTTGACTGTGACCGGTAGTGAGAATACCGTACATCATAATCCTTGACCGTTATCGGACCGAACCGAAACCGTTAGTGTGAATCGAGCTTAACTGCTTTGGAAAATGGCAAGTAAAAGGTCATATTACCTATCTACAAAAAATCCCCACTTTATTGCTAATAATAATCACCATTCAATATGTCTCGCTAGGTAGTCGCGATAACCGACAAGTACCCTTTTTTTAATTATTGTTAAATATAGCTGAGTGCGAATTAAATTCGTTTCTCGGTTAGGTTATCAGATTTAAAGTTTGAATGTGCATATTTTTGTAATTTGATAGATTTTGCAGGAGAATGCTTATTTTACATATTTTGAAAAATTTCTTACTTTTTATTATTTAAAATTAAAAACTATAGATACATATAACTATATATACATATTTCAACCGATCGAAAACAAAATGTACTAAGAGAACTGAATACTTCCAGTAATATACTATCTGCAAATTACCTCTCATATCTCGTTATAATTTTTGTGTAAATATAAATAATACTATTAACACGTATAGACCGTATAACCCACTAGGTATTGACCGGATGTCAATGAAGATAATAGTCGATATAGAATAATAGATTATTTGTTAAGTATTCAGTTCAGTCGATTATTATCCATCGTTGTTTTTGTGTTTCGCAACCACAAAAAGTCGAATCATACGTAAAACTTCGTATGAGATAATTTGTAACATCGTGTTATGCCCAAATTACTATAATCACGAGTAGCCGACAACAAAGTTTTGTTTCGGAGTTTAAAAATATATTTAAATCCGATGGACACGTTTTATTTTGTGTACTATCTGGTCGTTTTTTTTTTTTTTTTTTAATGCATCTAAAAGCATATTATAATGCATATTTTAATGATTTCAGAAGCATATTTGCATGCATATTGGTGTATTTTTTAGAGCTATAAGTCCCTAAGCCTACTTATTAATATAAATTGTTAATATTATTAATTTGAATATCATAATAATAAATATTTTTACTTGAAAGTAATTAATAAGTATGATAAACATTATTTACCAACATTTACTTGGTTTCTAGTCACTTCTTCAAATTACTTTATTTATTATCGTAATAGAAGTATAACAATTCAAAACAAAATTTAATAAATTAATACATTTTAATTTAACATAATAAATATAGTGAAATAAACATTTTAAAAATAATACTTTTAAAAGGTACTTAAAAATTATATACATTTAATTTAATTAACAGTTTCTCGTGCTTATTTTAATTTATAAAAATATGATTAATACTCATTTGAAAAAACTGTAGTTCTTTTCATTAAAAATAATTGTATATTTTATGACCCAATGGAAAAAAAAATTCTAGATAATCTGAGGATGCTAATAAATCCAAGATTAAATTTTTCAATCTATAAAATGTGTGCTAAGTTCAGTAAAAAATCAAAATTCAGTTATTAAAATATATGTTTTAAATAATTAGTGTCAAGCTATAACTTGCTACATAATCAGTGTTATAAAAATATGACTAAAAATTGATCTAGATAAAAATAAAATATAATTGGATATAATTTATCTAGATAAAGATAAAATATAGAACACTATCTGGATAAAACAAAATAATATTTATTTTTTTAATTTTTTTTTTTATAAATTTATACTTACAAATAAAATTGAATTAAAATTATTTTAGTTTTGATATAATAGATACCTCTAATTTAAATAATGAAAAAAAAAAAATATATATATATATATATACTATGTATATTTATGTATGGGAAATAATAAATAATAAGTACTTAGTTTTAAAAAATACATAAAATACATTCTTTGTAGGTATGTCATAATTTTATAAAATAATTCATTACAATTTATATAAAACTTATTATGGGTGTATATTTATGGTTAAAATATAAAAAAAATTAATTTAACCATTAACTGTATTATTTAATTATCTTAGGAATCAATTATTGTATGAGTCACTAGAAAATATAAATAGAATAGTCTTTATTAAATATATAAACAATTCTTAAAAAAAATACTTACAGGTACAATTTCATTAATATAATTATACATGTTTTGCAGTAACATAACTTTTAAAATAATATTACTTAATTATGAAGTCAATAAATTCATAATATTATTTAAGTCTTCATTCATTTTAAATTTTATTAAAATTTCACTTTCCAGTTAAATTTTTTGAATAAATATACTTCTATTTATTTATCTAGTTCAATTAAAATAGATAACTCAAGAATACATCAAACTTAATTCATGAGAGAACTAATTTATGTTATCATCTAGATAAGATAAAAGATAATTATTTATCTAGATAATATTCAACATTGTATACGACTTATAATACTATATTTATAATTTTTTTTTTTTTTTTTAGTTTTTACGAGTTTCAAATATGGCTCCTAGAAAAAGAAGAATCAGTAACATTTCCAAAAATGTTGACATCATCAAAGGAACATCTGTTGTATCACCCAGTGCTGCAAAAAAATCCAAAATTCAATCTGATCAGCCATTCGAAACTGACAGTTTGGTTTTAAATTGTTCAGAGCATTTAGAAACAATTTATTCTAACTTAAATGTTGGTACACCAATGTACTGGGATGAAGAAATTACTTCTGAAAATAGTGATGAATTTAAAAAAGAAAGTTTAAACAATGGTAAAGAATCTAATCCACGGCCTGATTATAATGATGATGCTGACTTGGTTTCATCATCAAATCAAAATGATTTTAATTAACCAGTGTATGACTTTTTTGCAGGTGAAGAAGATGATGTTGATGATTTAGAAACCATGGGCAATGAGAACAGTGATGAATTAGAACAAGAGGTTATACCTTTATCAGAAGACGAAAACATTGAATGTGTCGATAATTTTCCAACAGCATCAAGTGAGAGTTCATTTATAGATGAACAAAATGAAGATGTTGACAATGAGGTTGAAAAATTGCCAGTGGAAAATGCATCGGTTGATAATGGTAATATGGTTATAGATTTATTAGATAGTGACGACAGTGATGATGAAGAAGTCTTAAATGATACAGACCTTGTAAATTTATCTACTGTTGAATATTGCAATTATCGTACCGATGCAGAATATTTAAGAACAATATTTCCTGAATTTTGTTCTGAAATGTTAATGGATCTCCGTTCGAGATTCCATAAGGCAAAAAAATCAAGCCAAGTCTACACATATACTGGTCATCGAATAGGCTTAACCTGTGATACCATAGAAAGGTTATTTAGAAATGACTCTTGGTTGAACAGCGATAGCATTAACCATTATTTGCAGATGTTGTCCAATCATCGGAGTGATGCTCATTTTTCTTTTGATTCATATCTATTATCGGACTTTAAATATAGGGGATATGAATCAACCAAGAGGAGAACTGAAGGTGTTGATATTTTTTCAAAGAACGTGGTTTTTCCCGTTCATCTAGTACAATCACATTGGGCTCTGATTTATGTAGATATGAAGAATCATATTTTATTTTATATTGATAGTTTATTGGACAACTATGAAGCTGAATGTGAGGTACAGATGGACGAGTTCATTGAATATCTTCACGTAGAGCACTTGGAAAAGAAAAATGAGAGCATGAAAAATGATTGGCGCAAAATGGTTAGTGATATAAGCCCTATACAAACAAATTTCATAGATTGTGGTGTATTTGTTTGTTTAAATGCTAAAACTCTAATACTGGATAAGTTTCAAGACTTTGAGCAAACTGATATTCCAGTATTAAGAGTTAAAATACTTCATGAAATACTCTCTAATCAAATAATAGAGTAAAGTAAATTTAAGCATTGAGGAAGACATCCAAAAATAATAGTTAAGATAAAGTAAGGTTATATTAATTTAAGAGTTTTTTTTTTGTTATTAGTTTTTTATTTGTTGTTTTATTGATTATTTTTTATCAAAATTGTTCAAATTTTTATTTTGTTAAGTTTTTTTAGAGGACCCATGTATATTGTTTCTCTCTTATGCTTGTATTACACTTATTTGACTTTGTATGATTGACTTTAACAAATTTGTGTAATACATCAACTTTATAAATGTACAACATACCAAATCGTTGTTCAGTTAAGCCAATTTTGTGTTTAGGATTTAAAATTAGAGAAAATATATATTTCAATGTTTATGGTCTATTTGGCCATGTCTAGGATGTCTTCCTGCTCAGACTCCTTTCAACTTAAACGCGTTCAGTTCTCCAATGTGGCCTAGCCCTCTTCTAAATCTCTGCATGTCTTATGTTGCATTAAGTTCGTTGTATTTATAGTTTTTTTACTATGTTTTTTTTTTTTTTATGATCTCAATTAAATCCGTTTATTTATGTTATTTTCTATTTGATAAAATTAATGTTTCTTTGAAAATATACAACACATTTTCTGTTAAGTTTAAAGACTGTTGTCAAAAGACTGATAAATAAAAATGTACACATATAAGTTTTTACTTACCACTTTTATATACATTTTCCTTGTTTGTTAAGTTGTTTTTTATTTTATTATTTATTAAATTTTATTTTATTATTTTTTAAATTTTATTTTATCATTTTTGTCTATTAGTTATGAATAAATGGTACTTTTTTTATAGTATATTTGTAGAGATTATATATTTTAAGAACCTTTTATTAAAAAGAAAAAAATCATATTATTAATATATTGCTAATTTTAATTGTGTATTTCCAGTAAACTTTAATATTTGTCTTCAGTAAACACAAGTCACGACTGAGTATTTATTACATCATTAATATTATCCTAAAATTATAAATGTAATCAATAACATTATTAATTATTATGCATTCTTATGTTTGAGTTTTTTTCCATTTTATATCTTAATTTTTAATTATTGAAATACATTTTATTTATATTATGTTTTCAAAAATTGTAGTATATGAAGTTGTGCCATATCTTTATGTGTGAAAATGTTTTGATGAAAAATGAAAGTAAAAATTGTATTAAATTATTAATAAATGCAGGTTATTGAAATGTATCAATAATAATGAATATAATTTTATCATACTATTTGATGATGTAAGTATACAATATAAGTTAAAATAATGTTTGCCACATTTATTGGTTTTTTAAATTGAATAAAATTTTTTTCAAAGGTCATACCTGACTATTCATTTCTAGTGGAACTATATTAATTTGATTGTTAAAATTCAATAGAGTAAAGCATCTAAAGTAATATTTAGTTCGTTAAATTTTTATTTTGAAGAGGAATATTATAATTTTATACATAAACAGTCTTGGTCTATCAAATGAGTAAAAAATCAAATTATGATACATTATTTTAAAATATGAAATATTGTAGTTAATAAAGCTCGAGCGTCAAAAAAAACAAAATAAAATAACAAGTTATTTTGTTTAAAATTTTTAATTCTATTTCAGTATGATATGTAATATGTAGGGTATATGTATTATTTTTTTCTGAAAATACACGTTGTAAAAGTTATACGTTATTGCAAATTTCTGTTAACCGCTTACTCGATTAACCGTCATAGTCCTGATCCTGACAGTGATGGCTGATCGAGTTTCTACCGTACTGAATTTAATGAAAGGTTAGGTTAATTGAAATAAATAATATAGGTGTATATCTGAAATTAATTGCCTCATAATATTTATTCATAGGTCTATTATTCTTTTCTTTTTGTTCAAATTTTCAATTCTTTTACTCTGAACCTTACTGTAATATTCTTCAGAACTAAAATAGAATATATTGTCACCTCTCTTTTTACTGTTCATAATTTTTTCAATGCTGCTTTAAATTTATTTTGTTTTTCCTTACTCCAATATTATATTTAAATCTAATTAAAATTTCATAATGATCACGAGTAACACAAATTATTAGAAATAGTTATGGCAGTGTTTGTGATATTGTTACAATAACGTCCGACGAATCTTAATTGTTTTGATGTTTTAATAATTATTTTTGAAATATATGTATTAAAATTTAAGTTAGATTTAAATGCCATCTCAAATTCTATAACATTTGACACAACTGATAGTTTAAAATTAGATATATTATTTAAATACTTTTCAAATGACATGCTGTTGAACATTAATCTAAAAATTATACAATGCAATTAAATTAAAATCAATAAATATCTATGACTATTTGTGTTGTGTAAAATATATGATAATTTAAAATGTGGTTTAGAATGGTTCACGGAGTTTTGTAAATATTTAATGAAAAATTAGTTTATTATTTTTCACAATTTATTTTAATGAATATTTTATTTTTATTAACTTACAAAAAATATTAGTTAAGTAGAAAAAAAAGGCTAATTTTTGTTTTCAACCAAACATTAACAATCCATACCAAAGTACGATATGCAAGTTTGTTAAAAGTATATACACAAAAATAAAACATTTCATTGAATAATAAGTTCTACGTTAATAGTCAGGAAAAAAATGGGATGAACACGCAACAAAATGCGTCCAGTGTCACTTCATCGGGGCAACGGTGATAAATTTGTATACACTTAACGTATGCAAGTCGGTGGAGACCACAAGTGTATAAGGATGTCTTAGTAAGATACTACCAGCTAGAGATGGGACTTATCGTTCATTAAGGTGAACTAGTTCAGTCGTTCATCGTTCACTAAATTGAACTAGTTTATATATTTGACGATTCGTTTGTATGAATACGTACTCCGTATCAAAGAATTGCTCATGAACGAACTAGTTCAATAATTATTACTCCGTATCAACGAATCATTCATGACCTGACGCGAGCGTAAAGTATAAAAAGTACAAAGTGAACGGTGAACGAGTCGTTCATCAAAAGTGAACTAGTACGAAACCGGTCACTTGGGTGAATAGTTCAATTGAACTAATTTGTTCATGAACGACATATCTCTACTACCAGTGATACAATAAGGTAAGTGTTCCAGTACCCGAAAGGGTCTTAAATTGCCTACGCTGTGCGCCGTCTAGCGTTTTTTTTTTTTCATTACGATATAATAATAGGTAATCGCATACAAATATTTTGTATTTTTATTCGTGTCAAATAATCGACACGGTAATAATTTGTAATGATCATTATTGAGGAAAATTAAAATTAAGTTAGAATACTGTAGTTTATTATTTTTTTATTTGTATTTTTATTTAATCGTATGTTTATAATTTTTGTGAAATATATCTAAACGTCAAGACGTATTTAATGTTCGAGGTATAGTTTCAGCGTGGCGTGCGACTAAAACGTTTCTTATCACAAATATGCAACAATATTGTGAGACATACGATCGTGTTGAAATACGGCCACAGAGCTTCGTCCCTAAATTGTCTGCCCGACACGCCATCTTATGTATATTTTTGCTATGATATCGTAATAGTAAATATTAAAATTTAATAACAGTAGTAGCGGTAATATATGATGTTCAAGGGGGGAGGGGGTTAAAATAAAGCCAACCCATCCCACCCCATAGCATTTTAATATATACATTATATACTCGTAAATAAAATAAATAGTATACACATGTATTATAGGTATAAATGTATTGACTTATACAATTTATCTTATAATAATTATAATAATACGCACGACCGAGACACAACGGGGCATGATAATATATTATCCGTGGATAAAACGATAAAATATTTTGTTATCAAATTAAAAGTTCGAAAATTTGTATTGTTGTTGGGTCAGTGGTATACTAAATTTATAAAAACCAAATCTCAAGGGGGCTAATCCACCTGTCGCCCTTCACCCCCCCCCTAATAACCATCACTGAATAAACTAAATAATTTAAATATACAGGAAATACTCCGAATACTTCAAAAATAAAACATTTTATTTATGAATAAATTAGAAAAGATCGAATATAGATATAGTTAGAAATATTGTTAACATTGGTTATAGAATTCTATATATTTTCCGAGTGTAAACACTATACGAGTATATAAATAATGATTTATTATCAGTTTCGCTGCATCAACATCTTTCTATTGTATTATTTTCCATTTTCGTATCGCGGAAACGCGAGTGTAGCGAGCAGCTTTGTAAAACGGGGCTAAGAATGTTAGTGATACATTTATTACTAGGCGCCTGTTTTAGATATGCCAACTTCATTTGAACCTTTAAATTCGCCAGTGGAAGTAAGTAATATGCGAGAAATTATGTTCCGTTTATTGAAACTATAATGTTAGTTGGGAAAAGATGTTTTTTTTTTACCGTGGAATGGGTAATTCTGATGTTGCTTATAGTTTGTTTGACGAGACTATTAATACAAGGTACTTTTTTAGAACTTTTAATTTTTTTAAGTAAAATTGATCCATTATTAAAAAATCATTTGAAAGAATCGTGTGAAAAAAGTGAAGAACATAGAAGATCCCGGGTTCAAAACATAGGTGTTATTATAGTTAGTAAAAGAAGAGATAACTAGGAAATATTTATATCTAAAACAACGGTTAATAATATTGTATAAATTATTTAAAAACTGATTAAAAATAAAATTAGTCAGGAAATATTGGAAAGTGAATAGAACGTTATAAAATGGATGACACTCGAGGATTTTCGTAATTTATTTTAATATTTTCAAAAAGATCCACCGCAGTCCATGCCTCCGAGTACCGATCATGGACACAATGCGACCGCACGACCATAGAATAGAGATTAGACGGCGCTGTCACCAACAGTCCCATTTGACCGTTGTGTTTGCGCGCACCCGTCAGTTGTAATATGGATAAGGAGGATTTCCAGTTTTTAAGTGCGTATGGATGTTTCGACAAAATATTTCAATACCCTATTGTTATTTCGATTTTTATTTATTATTTTATACGTTTCATTTTAAATTACTGAAGGTAGGTATTATGATGTACCGTACATTGCACTAACATATTGCATCTACATGCACTAATTTATTTATTGAATGTGCATGATACTCCTCCGCGTGACACCTACTGGGCCAGTTGTTTGGATTCCACCGCGGTCGCACACGAAATTCCGCAGCCGAAACCGGCAGTTCGCGCGACCCGCCAACGAGTCAAGGGCCGTCGGATCCGTATCCGAAGGAAGAGTGACTTAGGCTTGGAGTGGAAAGAGCGCAAAGGGACTTTCCCTTATCACACACACCGCTGAAGATCGTGCCCTTTAACGTTTCATACGTAAAAGCTTTCTCAGAGAACACGGTCTTTGGAACTCTTGATCATTTGCTCTAAATAATTGTCCAATTTAAAAGTTACATACAAACCAATAAAATGTAAATATATATATGGGTATATCACCCATAGTTTCTAATTATTATTTGAATTAATAATTTTTTTTTTTTAAATATAGTACCTACCTATTAAAAATAATAAAGTAACGTTAAATGTTAAAAGTTTCGTTATGTAAAAAAATTGTATGTTCAGTACATTTTAGATCTATAGTTCTAACTTCTTATACCATTGTAATCCAACTTACAAAATCTTAAAAATTTAATTCTTTACACCTAAGTTAGGAAAACTTTATTTCTAAAAAAAAAGAACCTATTAAAATTTGACATACTGTATAATTTATCAAATTGTATCTTATAAATATTATAAAAAAAATAAATACTCAAACAGTTTTATTCACACAGTTCTAACATAGACTGAACAGACATAGGAGTAAAAGTTCTACCATCTTGACTGACAAATAAAACTCCACAATCAATATTTACTTGAAGCTTTGCTCCACATTTGTAGACTTGTTTAGTTTCTCTAAAACGACTGGCAATTGGTATCCATAAAATACCTCGTTCTTCACAGTGCTTTTGCACTAACTCTTTGAAACCATGAGGCATCTGTGATGCAGTATACACAGCTTCAGCTAAACCACCCTAAAATTTAATAATATGAAATAAATATAATCTTAAGTCACAATAATGGTAACTAAATTAGTTATCTGTTTATATTGTATTATAGACATAATGTATCGAGACTATTTACTTGAATTGAAGACGGCGGTGGTGGTAATGGCATAGAAAGTCTTCCGACTGCTTGGCTCATAATATACAAAGCCAAATGAAATTGTCCTTTAATTGTTGGATGTTCCACAATAATAGCAGGCAATAAAGACTTCCATCCTGTATACCAGTTACTTATTTGTTCTTGATTTGGGTTCATATTCATCCACATGGTAAATGTTTTAAGCCATTTTGGGAAGAAATATTGGTCAGGCAAATCTACTACTATGGTTACTGGCCACAAACACTCACCCAATTCCAATCGTCTGAACACATAATAAACCAATTTATTAAAAGATTTTGGATTATAAGCCTAAAAAAAAAAAAAATTATAATAATAATAATAATTTTACCTAATTGTTGGTCATGTGGATTAATTACAAAAGATTGTAAAGTAATTTTTAATTTAGGAACAATATTTTTAATTAGAAAAGTTTTCATATAGCCTTTACTGGGACTTTATTATCTTTACTTTGATCTGTTATTTGTTCATTATCTATTTCCATCGGTTTACTTTTAGATTCAGGACCGTATGCACCTAATAACCACATTTATGATATCAGTATACACTAATACTACAATAAACATACATTTTTTATATTACCTATCTAATGCTCCTCTTCCTTTTCTCAAATTAATTTCAATTGGAGCTGTAATACCTTGAAGTTTTTTTCCTAATCCATGTCCAGGTTGATAACCCATCTGTAGAGTACCAAATAACCAATTATTTTTTTTATTATTAATAATAATACATAAATATGAAAAACAATATTTTTGAATTACTTTGAGCAAAAGTTTTGCACCGATTCCTTTAGTATGTTTTTCCCATTCTTCTAATTCTTTGTTCATAATTCTAGGATTTACTCGAGACCGTTCCTTGAAGACCGTTTTCATTCCTATGACTGTCAATTTTCGATCAATAACATAACTAAATGTTGGTGGTGATGTCAATTTAGTTTCATGTTATCATTTTTGTGCGATGCAGCAACAGTGCGTCATGCTGTTACAGCGGCACAACTCCGTGTTGCATCGTTATCAGTCGCAAACAAATGTGTTTGTTAATTCAATGTTTTCAAATCATGTTCAGTTATGTTTTATGTTTTTGGTAAAAGTTAAGTCATCGTCTCGGTGTCATAAAGCTTCAACATTTCAAGTGTAATAATTGTGGTGATACTGGGACGTTTTATCTTCATATTTTGGTGTCCAGCGGCCATAGCTTTTGAGGTAAATGTCGTCGGCACCGTCTGTCTCTCTTGTCTTCGTGTTTTTGTGGTGTGCTCATCAATCTGTCGAATATTTCAAATCTGTTCGAATGTCCGTACGTCTGCAGCCACCATTTGGTTCGAACCACGTTATTGAATATTGTTATATTTGTTTTGCAAATTGACCATGTGATAAAATGGTAAAAGAACGTTTCGCCCCCGCCGTTTCATCCCCATGATTCAGAAACAATTATTACCCGTGTTGTGTTGTTTTGTGTTTTGTTACTTACATTTGACCTCAGGAATTTAGTTTAACCGTTAAATTATTATTTAATACTGTTTTTTAGTTAAAGTTTCATTTTTAAAATTATATAATAGCCGGCTGTAGTAGTGATACTCATAGTCAGAGCAAAAAAATAATTTTTTCAGTGTACAAATTTATAAAAGACCTATCGACACAAGATGAAATTGTTCCATCTATGTTTTTTCAATGCCTTAAGGTAACAGCTGAAGCCTGTGGATTATCAGAGCGAACTGTGAGGCACGTATGCAAAGAGGGTAAGGATAGTATAGATCCAGAACAACAAGTTGCTTCATTCAAGTCTCCGCGTAAAACGTATAAATGTGAAAAACCGTTGACTGGATTAGACGATTTTGATGCGGATATAGTACGGAGAACAGTGTATGAGTTTTACAATTGAGGTGAGTACCCAAAAGCTCTTACTGTTTTAACGGAAGTAAAGAAGAAGTGCGATTGAGAAGGCCCTGTTTGGTCGATGCGTACGCTTTTAAAAAATTTGAAATTTTCTTTCAAAAAGTGCAATGATGGAAGGAAATTTCTTATGGAAAGAAATGACATTGTTGCACTACGTTGTGCATTTTTAAGAAAAATGTGTACACTCCTGGAACAAAATGATACCCGCCCTGTCGTTTACGACGAGACGTGGATAAACCAAAAAACTACGTGAACTTAAGAATAGTCCATTTGAACTATTCACTCGAACGAACTGTGAACTAATGAACTAGGTATTCACGGAAATGAACCAAACATTCCATCTCTATCGCACATCAAACCCATCATAGGCTTTAATCGGTCAACGTCGACGAAATAAAATCATACTCGTATTTGGGTTTACCCATTAGCCTGTTTATTTGTGTTTCTATTCTTGGATAAATGATCGCAACAGTCTGCGTTCCGCCACCTGAATTGTGCGACAGAAATCATCGCACATCATAGCCGCCGCCGCCGCCGATAATAAGATGTTTTATCTTCTATAAAAATCGGTTTTGTGCGGTTCCCAACGTAGCACACATCACGTAATACCGACAGCCGCGCTGTAACAATACTATACACACACATTTATAGATATTATGTGTGATGTACACGAAATAATAAAATCAAATAACTATCAAATCAAATATTTTATATTCTTTCGAATATTATGTCATTTCAGTGGGGGGCGCACCGTCGCACGTATGCACGAGCCACCATTGATTGTTAACACTGAGCAAAAATGCTTTTTATCAGCCATAATTCTTATCAGGGGGAACAACTACCCCCATCCCGTGGCGTGCCGTCATCCAATTGCCGTTCATAGGCAACACAGTCGTTGTCACAGTCCCTGTGCGGTCGCGTGCGATGAAATTCGCCACTCGACACGTAGTGAGTATTGGTCGACCATATTTGTTTCGTTTTTTCTGTGTAAAGGCCGACGACGGGCCTAGCCTGTATAGGCACATTATTATTATTATTATTCATTGTGTGCCGTGTGGGCCATTCGTGTATTATACGTATATTTTTTGTTGTTATGCCAACCTTATATTATTATATTTTATTTTTATTTATTAATTATTGTTATTAAAACGAGAATATGAAACAAAAACGAATTGATTTATTTCATATTTCATAGCCGTCAAGGCACGTCTTCATTATTATTATGTATTAGGAGCCGACGGCGGCGACGGCTGGTTTTTCTTCACAAATTTAATTTCATTCAAAAATAAATAAACATATTATTATTATTATTAAAAGTTTTCATTCAAACTTTGAAGATATATTATTTCCCACATTTTCTGTTTCATCATCCCTAGTTTCTTCTTTTTCTCTTTCTTTTTTATCTTTACCAGATTGTTGAATACTACCAGCTACAAAGGAAACAAGCTCCGTATAATTTTGCTTATATTTCTTACCTTTTTTTTTGCGTCCTCCAAAACCTGAAGATTCATCATCACTATCACCAAATCTTATTCATCAGAAACAAACAATAATAATTACAAAATAAATACATTTTTTTTTTTTTTTTGGGATATTTAGCACTTGTAAAATATTATTAAATTATAATCTTACAATATTATTAGTAATAATAGTCTAATTTACAAAATTTAAAATCTTAGAATATTTTCATTAAATCAGGGTTTAAAGATCGTTGTTACAAATATTAATATGTATTTTTAATTTATTACGGACATATTTAAATATAGCGTTAAATCAATTAATACATTCATAACAAATATACATTTTATATCACCTTATTTATTCGTTTATGTAACAACATTAATTTATTTTTTAAAACCAATTTACATTGATTATCAAATTATTGCTGTGCCAAGCAGACAATTTATTCATATTAGATTCTCTTAGCTATGATTTATATTTATTTAATGTATTTATTGCCAATCAGGCAATTATTTATATTTAAATTAATTCCTAAATTATTTTTTTATATATAACTTATTTATTATTTATTTCCTTATAATAAATCTGCGAACAAGCCAGTCCTTTAATAATAAGGGCACTTGCTGTACTAACAAACACTGTATAATAAAATAAAACTTTATATTGCTCTTTTTAAAAAATATTTTCAATACCATTGAAAAGGTTTTTTAATATAGTTTAATCTTAATTTCTTTAGATATTTTATTAAATTCTACTGTTTATCTTGTATGGTCTTGTATTTAAATAAACACCTGAAAGAACTTGTTAAAAGTTATTTGTTTATGAGGGGGGGGGGCACTGGCTACAATTGCCTCGGGAACCAGATTTTTGGGAGTGCCAAAATTTTATGGTCGGAAATTTGCTCACTTGTGAATTATTGAAATTTTAAAATTATTTTGAAATTATTATTTTTTTTCGTTTTTGATAACAGTGTCATAAATTAATGTTATTGTATTTAATTTAGTTCCTAGGCTTCGTGCATAATCCGATTATGGGGAAACCGGGAAAAAATAAACACATTATTGAGTAGTATACTTTTTTTATAATTTTTATTATATTGAGAGGACCAGTGGCGTATACAAGGGAGGATATAGGGGTCAGATTTCCCCTAGAATTATTTTCAATGTTATAAAATGTAATAATAAATATTCTTACCAGTGACTCCATCATCAAGATATGTGTTAGCATTATTTTGGGAACATAACGCACAACTAGAAAAAGAACGACACAACTCAAAATTTGAACAATTTGAGTTGTGTAGTTTTTCTTCTGGGTGTGCGATAAGATAGCGTCAGATGAGGTCTTCAGGAGTGCTTTGATACCTTTGTGAAGGTTCTGGTATAGATATTTGATTTTCTACGATTTTTTTTTAATATCCGAAACGTAAAATCGTTTGTGCAACCCTGTGGCAACATATATTCCGATGCCTCGTACGGTCCAAGCGGGGGTTTCCGGACTTTTAAAACATAAAGACACAGTAGCCGGGGTCCTAAGGAGTGCAGCAATACAGTTTTGATCATCCTGGGTTTGCCGACTACTGTCGTCCACTATACATCGTTATGTTTACGATGACGCCTTCATCAGTGTTTTATACATTTAAAAAATTCACCAAAAATAAAAATCTTATCCAATAGTAACGGAAAACATATAATTCTACTTAAAATGTTCCTGGAAAAAGTGCAAGTGTGTTGAATAAATGTTGTTTAAAGAAATCATTGGATCCGAATTATTCTACAGAAAAGCAAAACACACCATTCCTACTGCAATATAACCGATCTCTCATACGGTTCAGGCGGGGGTCTATGCCTTGGTGTATTCAAGGTCATGATACAGGACATACTAAGGGGTTAAACCGTATGCTTTGGAAAAGTCTGAGATGCCATTTTAGAACTTTTATAATGATTTTAGATTACGCGAGTTATATTAAAGTTACATAATATGTAATCAATCATTTGAATAATAATAAATTATTTGCCGTTAAAAAACGGTGGAATGCACTGTTAAATAATCTAGAATAATTTTATTTATTCAAGTCCAGTCACAAGCTTTGAGT